CTGTTCTTACTAACAGATTCCCAAGTTTCTCATCCCTGCTTTGCAGGAATGAGAAAAAGAGCGACTGTTCACTCTGTGTTGATTGTCAACACAGGGCTCTGGGTTGTGATTGCATACAGCCGATCAGCAGGTCCTGGCTGTGAATCATTGGCCAGGACTTGCTGACAGGCTCCCGCTGTGTCCAGTCACAGCAGGTGCCAGCCAAGGGGTGCATGTGCGCGCCTGTAACCCAGAAGTACACAGTAATGTACTGGTAGGTCACTTTGCCTACAGCGATGGCCTGTCCACAGCCCATTGTGGGAAGTCATTAAATGGTTAAATCCCAATTTCCAGCCAAAACTGTTTTTGTCTTATATGGTACTTTATTACTCTCAGTGTGCCTATTCGGGAGATTTCCCCTTACTCGTCAAGACATGGGAAAATTCACCAGTGGGGACAGTTCTAAAGCGGAAATCCAGGTATGGACGGTTGTGATTGGCCCAACTTGGACTAATTATTATTATTATTATACAGTATTTATAAAGCGCCAATAGTTCGCTCAGCGCTGTACATTACAAAGGGGGACAGAACATGTGACAGAACAATACCAATACAATGCAAAACATGAGGGGATCGAGGGCCCTGCTCTTTCGAGCTTACAATCTAGGAGGGAGGGGATGGTGGCACAGGAGGAGATAGCTGTGGGGGATGGAGTGGTAGGAAGAGAGGAGGAGGTCGGCAAGTTAGCAGGGGGTGGGGTAGGCTTCCATGAAGAGATGGGTTTTCAGGGTGCGCCTAAAGAAGAGGAGAGTAGGTGATAATCTGATGGGTTGGGGCAGGGAGTTCCAGAGGATGGGTGACACCCTGGAGAAGTCCTGGAGGCGGGCATGGGAGGAGGAGACCAGGGAACTAGAGAGGAGGTCTTGTGAGGAGTGGAGTGTGCATGCTGGGCGGTACTTGGATATTAGGTCAGTGATGTAGTTCAGGGCAGTATGGTGGACGGCTTTGTACGTCAGTGTTAGGATTTTGAATTTGATCCATTGCGCAATCGGAAGCCAGTGGAGGGATTGGTAGAGAGGGGTGGCGGAGACGGAGCGGTTGGAAAGGTGAATGACTAATGTTACTATGGATGTACCATACCTGTGGGATATCCCTGGAAGATGGAAATCACTGTAGTAAGCATTGCTACTCCAATGATTTCCGCTTTCTCCCAGATCCCATGCCAAGGAGGTTGCCCGCTGGGCATGGGCTCCATTTTTAAGATCTCCATGTATTGGCTCAATGAATGCAAAGCATTCCCTGCTTGGACAAGGTGGAGAGGTGGGGCAATGACATCACAATCTCCACCTCGTCAGAGAGACACTTTGAATGAATTGATAAAATACAAAACATTCTCCGAATGGTGCAATGGTCAGATTATAATAGTTGCAGATTGGTGAGTGATTCAAATGATATATCACATTATTGCCATAATCCCGTCAACTAGAAGAGATAGCATCACGCTCCCAGCTGCAGGAGCAGTTAGTGCAGAGGCACTGCCAGGCTTTCATATCAAGTCCAATGTGCTCTGCAAACACTATCATAAAAACACGCTGTAAAAAAAATGTCTATTTGTAAAAAAAAAAAATAAAAGGATTTTTTTTTTCACTCGCCTTGAAATCCTTTGCCTGGACTCCATTAAGGGACACAAAGTCTTTCACCAGAGCATCCACTGCTAGTAAAAGAGGATTCCTGCACCTGGAGACCAACGTTTTCAGTTTGTATCCCTGGAATATCACTGCCTGCACCTGAAAGGCAAACTATCAAGGAGTCTGCAAAAATGAACGAACATCCACATCTTCTGGAAACTGAGGGCACACGTTTACGCTGATGAGGGCATTTTCTGGGGTTTACCCCGGCTTTTTGTCTCCAGTTGTGAAAATCCTCTTGCTGTAGCGATGGATGCTATTGAAAAATGTTCTGTATCCCCCCCAGTGGACGTAAAAAACATATTGTAAACACATAATGAAAAATAACATGCTAACTGGAAACTGATAAACGTAAAACAAAATAAATAAATGGAATACCATTATAGATTCCCCTTGAAGTCCAAATTTCCTTTTATCATCTGTACACAATTGGCCAATATGGTGGTAAGCTAATAAACCACCTAGGGAGGCAGATAATATCTACAACTACCCAAGTCAATACTGAATTAAAATATACACTCACCCTAGGTTCACATCTGTGCAGGTGGTGCTGCTGCGGATCTGCACGAAAATGTGGCTGCACCACCCGCACAGAGAAATGCGGACCCACGGGCGGGTGCCATTAGTTTTAATGGCTCACCGCTCGCACTGGAAAACGCAACCGTACTGGGAACCAAGGTTAACATGCGGGTGTTTTCCAAAGAGGTGCAGGGACTTCTTCCCTGCGTGTCACAGACACGGGAGTCCACTCAAATGAATGGGCTCTCATGCCCGTGCAAAACGCAGCCCGCACGGCCGCATATATGTGAACCGGGGGACACTGACCACTTTATTAGGTACATCTGTTCAATTGCTTGGTAGTACAAACTGCTAATCAGCCAATCACATGGCAAGAACTCAATGCATTTAGGCATCTAGATGTGGTGAAGACGACTTGCTGAAGTTCGAACCGAGCATCAGAATGGGGAAGAAAGGGGATTTAAGTGGCCTTGAATGTGGTATGGTTGTTGGTGCCAGATGAGCTGGTCTGAGTAATTCAAAAATGGCTGATCTACTGGGATTTTCATGCACAACCATCTCTAGTGCTTACAGAGAATGGTCCAAAAAAAAGAGAAAAAATATCCAGTGAGCTGCAGTTGTGTGGATGAAAATGCCTTGTTAATGTCAGAGGAGAATTGGCACACGGGTTTGAGATGATAGAAAGGCGACAGTCACTCAAATAATCACTCATTACAACCAAGGTATACAGAATACCATGTCTGAACACAACACTTTGAACCTTGAAGAAGATGGGCTACAGCAGCAAAAGACCTTACCGGGTAGCAAGGTGTACCTAGTAAAGTGGCTGGTGAGTGTATATCAGTAGTGCTTGAAAACTTTTCATCAGCACCCTAAAACTGGCTACATAGTTAGTCTGGCTGAAAAAAGACAAAAGTCCATCCAGTTCAACCATTAAGAAAAAAGCTATAATCCTATACCCACAGTTGATCCAGAGGAAGGCAAAAAAAACCAGCAAAGCATGACCCAATTTGCTCCTGCAGGGAAAAAATTCCTTCCTGATCCCGAGAGGCAATTGGATATTCCCTGGATCAACTTTACCTATAAATGTTAGTATCCAGTTATATTCTGTGTATCCAAGAAAGAATCCAGGCTTTTTTGAAGCAATCCACTGAGCTGGCCAGAACCAACTCTTGAGGGAGTCTATTCCACATTTTCACAGCTCTTACTGTGAAGAAACCTTTCCGTGTTTGGAGATTAACTAGTTGTCAACTGCAGGTAGCCGAATGACGACTGCACTGCAGCCGGCCAGTTCTGGGAGGCCGTCATATGTCCTCCTAGAACGCGCTCTCCTGCATGCCCCCGGGGTGAGCACCCGGCGATCTCCATGATCACTGTGTCCTATGGACGCAGCTGATCAGGTGATGTAGTAAAAGGCCAATCACAGCAGCCTTTTACCACGTAATCAGCCATGTCCAATGACACGCTGATCACCGGGAAATGCAATTGCCGGTTCTTGGCTGCACTTTCCTCACGCTGTCAGAGGGAGTCTCCCTCTGAGAACAAGTATGTACTCGAAACGCATCAGTGAGACCCCCCTGTACAAGGATTATTGACCCACATGCTACCTCATTACCTCTGGATGTAAGTGCCAGTTCTCTTTTTTCCATTTTTGTACTTGCTTACAATTGTAACTCCTTTCTGTTATAATAAATATTGGAGTTTTCTTTTTCTCTGGGCTCATTCCTTGAAAATCGTGAGCCCCCCTCCCTTAAGTGCTCCATGGTAGGAGACTTATACAAAAAGTACATGATCCCCCCGGTGGCTGAAATCCATACTGCAGGATGTATCCAATGTGATGATCATACATTATACTGGAATGAAGAAACCTGCGCTGGCCTGATGATATCTGGTGACTCAACCCCACCTGACGACTTCACCTGTTTGCAGAATTCCGGTTCCCAGAGTACCATTGGAGTAGGTCTTATTTACGCCAACGCACATAACTACGTGCTATCTGGTTAGTACATTGTATACGCACTTCTCACGAACCACAGAAGTCACAATAATTTAACAGCCATCTAAGGAACCACGATTGCCACATTGCACTTTTAAGACTTTTACTCATCCTTTCACCTATGTCATTTTTATTTGCAATATCAAGCGCTGCATTTCTTTTTCCTCATAGCTGATCTCCTCCATGCCTCTTATGAGTTTGGTCGCCCTTCTCTGTACTTTCTCCAGTTCCCCAATGTTCTTTTTGTGAATTGGTCCCCAAAACTGCACTGCATATTCCAGATGAGGTGTTACTAATGATTTGTACCGGGGTAATATGATATCTCTCTCTCTGGAGTCTATACCTCTTAATACAAGAGAGAATTATTCCTCGCTTTAGAAACCACAGCTTGGCATTGCATGCCATTATTAAGCTTGTGATCTACCAGAACCCCCAGATCCTTCTCCACCATTGATTCCCCCAGTTGTACCCCCCCCAGTATGTATGATGCATGCATATTCTTAGCCCCCAAGTGCAGAACCTTATATTTATCAACATTAAACCTCATTTGCCACATAGTTGCCCAATTAAACAGAGCATTGAGGTTGGCTTGTAAATTGGAGACATCCTGTAAGGACGTTATTCCACGGCACAGCTTTGTGTCATCTGCAAAGACTGAAATGGGATTCTCAATCTCAGACCCTATATCGTTTATAAATATATTAAAAAGTAAGGGTCCCAACACTGAACCTTGGGGTACACCACTGACACCCCTAGACCATTCAGAGTATGAATCATCAACCACTACTCTCTGAATACAATCTTTTAGCCAGTTTTCTATCCATGTACATACAGATTTTTCCAAGCCTGTAGACTTTACCATACACATTATCAGTGTGTGGGGAACTGTGTCAAATGCTTTTGCAAAATCCAAGTATACCACGTCCACCGCCACCCCTCTGTCCAAGTATACTACATCCACTACCACCCCCACGTCACCGCCACCCCTCTGTCCAAGTATACCACGTCCACCGCCACCCCTCTGTCCAAGTATACCACGTCCACCGCCACCCCTCTGTCCAAGTATACCACGTCCACCGCCACCCCTCTGTCCAAGTATACCACGTCCACCGCCACCCCTCTGTCCCAAGTATACCACGTCCACCGCCACCCCTCTGTCCAAGTATACCACGTCCACCCTCTGTCCAAGGTTTTGGTCACCCAGTCTTAAAAAGACATCAGATTTGTTTGACAGCTTCTGTCTTTCATGAATCCATGCTGTCTGTTGCTTAAAATATTTTTTCCAACAAGAACTCATCTATGTGGTCTTTTATTAAACTCTCCAGTATCTTCCCAACTATAGAAGTTAAACTAACAGATCTATAATTACTTGGTAAAGATTTTTACCCCTTTTTAAATTTTGTCTTCCTCCTCCACTCAGTAAACTCTCAAGTGTAAAATAAATACTCTACCAAACAGTAATTTCACGGCTTGACCACTGCTGTCACTCTTTTGATAGGATGAACTTGCTGTGACACAAATCCCTTTGTCCTTCACAAAGGGATTTTTTTTTTCTTTTTTTTTAAAGAAACCTGAACTATCAGAGCTGACCTCTCCTGATGAAAATGCTAGTTCTCTGGCTGTTTCAATATTTAATCATTGTTTGATGACTCATCCCAAACCATTCATGCAAGTACAAGTATGTTTAAAGGAAACATTCTCATGATGCCAAGGACATAGGACTTGGTGATGGTTATTATACTTGTTCCAGGTCATTGAATCAAAGTACTGAAAGTGGACCATCACTCTTCCCCACATTTTGTCAATCTACTCCTACCTCCTTTCCTTTTCCCTCTAGCAGTCACATTTTTTTTTTTTATTATTATTAAATTCATTTTTTGGGGGAACACTTCCCACACTTGCTGGATTCTCAGCAAGGCGAGAATGATGTATTCTTTGCCTACAGCCTCCTGGGTTACACTTATTGCACATCCCAGGGGGCCCTCAGGCATAACACTGCAGCACATGGCATCATCAGGGAGCAGCAGGGAGAAAAAAAAAGGAGAAAAAAAAAAAAGAGAAAAAGGAAAATAAAAAAAATATGTTTCTTTGTACCTTACCACGCAAAATAAGGTGGCGTTGTGGGGGGGTGAAGTTTCTCTTGAAGCCAGGGGTTGATGGGCAGGACAGCCAGCCAGTAGTCACATTTTAATATAAGTAATGGGAGCCTTTATGTTTCTTCAGCTACTGCTTTATAAAAGTATTATTGCATTGAGTATTATAATTCTTTGTCATTTTTATGGGCATCTTTTATAACTCCCATATCTTAGATACATATATTGTCTAGCTATGGGAAGCAGTGCAGGACAAGAATATAGCAAGAGGTGGCTCTAGAGTTAAAGATTTGACCACTAAAGCCACCTTTAAACACATGTATTGCAGCTATGCAAACTATACACAATAGAATGACAACCCAAGATGCAGTTTTTTTTTATTTTTTGCTCTGCTGTTATGTTTGCATACAAACACACCAATTCCATTAACACAAGTTAAAACCTAACTCCAGGTTTACAATGACTTTAAATAGTTCAGAACTAATTACCAATAACAGATGTGCCCACTGGCAGCAACTGTATGCAGAATGAGCTTCATACAGTGCTGTGTTCTGCCAGTGGTATGGGGACTTCCTTTCCCATTTCTGGAAAAAAAAAAATCATGTCAGGCTAAGCCTTGCTCAGCCATTCAGAGGAAGCTTTGTATTTTATGAATACAAGGCTTCTGCCGATTGGCTGAAAGAGGTGGGCAGATGGAAATTTCTGCAATACAGAAAGTATCAAGTTGATGTCCCATGGGGTCAACAAAGTTTTAACAGGTGAAACAATGGGGAAGATTTACTAAAACTTGAGAACTCAAAATCTGGTGCAGCTGTGTATGGTAGCCAATCAGCTTCTAACTTCAGCTTGTTCAATTAAGCAATGACAATAAAACCTGGAAGCCGATTGGTTTCTACGCAGAGCTGCACCAGATTTTGCAATCTCCAGTCTTGGTACATCCCCCTTCCCCATGTGTATAACCCCTTGTAAAAAGGCACGCACCAAGGAATGCAAAGAAATGGGTCTCTCAAAAGAGAGTGCCAAGACCAGTCTATGGATTAGACTAGAGAAACGCCAGGCTGCAAGCCTCAACATACTTACGAAAAAGTCCCCAAGCTTCATGTCAGGTAAAAAAAAAAAAAAAAAAAAAAAAAAAAAAAAAATCCGGTGGTACATCTTCAATGATATTGCCTACCTTTTCATCAAAGGAAGAATGTCCAAATCCCGATTCTCATGACCCTGGCTTCAACAGCCCTACCGCTAAAGTCAGCGACTGTAAAAAAAAGGATGGATGATCACAGCTTGCGCCAGGGAGGACAGGTCGATCTGTTAAGAGACAATGGATCGTCCACTGACAACTTTACAATATCACAATACCACGTTCTCCTGGGCCAGGCCAATCATGATCACCAGAATCCTGCGAAACAGACAAGGTAGAAGCTGTCAAATTGCAGTGGCACATAAATTATGGTGAACGGATCCCACAGTATCACCAGAAAATCCGCAGCAAATGCTTGAGGATCCTCTGTTCTGGATATGAACCTGCCCAGCTAAGCATTGGAGCCAGGACTCCAGAAGAGCCACATCCAGGGTTCCCCAGCATCTGCAGAGTTCCTCAAACACCTCTGGGCAAACAGCCTACTCTTCCAGAGTCAGACATTGACAATTCACCTGTCAATTTTCCACGCTAGGAACGTGGATGGTAGACTTATGCTACTATCATGGCATTCTTCAACTGAACCGTTATAGGGAGGTCCTCACACTGCACAGACCAATGCAGCAGGGCATAACAAATCACCCTCAATTCCAGGAGTTTGATGGACAACAATCACTCCTGTGGTTACCAAGTTCACTGAACTACAATTGTCCAGATGTCCGCCTCAGCCCACCAGGCTGGTGTACATCATCAAGACCCTCCAGGAGAGAGGGAAGAACAATTTCCCCATCTCCAACATCCACAAAGAAATCAATCAGTCCAAACAGTCTGAATTTGTCCCCATGTTGAGAAGACAGTCAGTTGGAATAGCCTGGAATGAAACTGGCCAAAAGGAACTGGCTCAAAAGGAGGCCATCTCTTCAGAACTCTCATGCACAAACGGAGGGATTTGTCAGAGTTCAGAGCAACTCTACCCAAGTTATTAGCAAGACATTTGTCCTGAGGCAACACCATTTTTGATCTGACCGTGTCCAGCATCCAACCTTTGGGATGGAACGAAGGCTGACCTCTGCAAAGATGAATTGAGGGATTTGAACAGTTGCAACTGAGCCCTCAGAGCAAGGCATTTATCTTTGTGGGGCAGGAAGAATCACTCGGAGTGTATCTACTCGTGAAGCCCCCACACTATACCAAAGGAAATAAGTTCAATGCAAACTCCATACTGACTTTGTCAGAACTTGACCTGGACTTTGGACTCCTTACCTACCCCCATTCAATAATCACATGGCACGTATCTGTTACATGCTCGCCTAGACCCAAAAATGCCTGGTATTTGACTGCTTCGGACAGTCACACGTAACGAGGTAAGGAGAGTGTGTACTGTGAGAGGATGGTTGGGAACCAAAGGAAAAAAATTACTAACCATTAAAACAAAATTTGTAATATATTGCAGCTTACCAATCATTAGATGTGCTGGTTGCATTCTTTTTTTTTGTTTTTTTTAGGTATTATTCCACTTGGTTATCTGGCCAGAAACAGACCCTCCTGTATTAGAGTGCCCCCCTCAGGATGAAGAAGCACAGCGGTACCTTTGGACAGCAGCATTGGTAATCTTGGGGCGGCGGGGGGGGGGGGGTGTTAAATGTACTAGCAGATTTAGATACATTAACAAAATTGAAGCCAAACTCCAGCTTACACTTTATAAGCAGTTACAGCTAATTGTGTTTTTTTTTTCCTTTTGGGATAAGCATTTTGCATAAATAAAAGCGGATCAGTGTAAGCACCCCTTGTCAGTGGCAAATGGTTTGTCTCATCCCTCTGCAAGACACCATGCTCTTTGTAAAAACAGACTTACTGGCAGGATCATAAGATGAAAATAAGAGAAAGCCTAAAAAAAGAAAACTAATGCAGTTATCACATCTAAGAACTGGTAAGATGCAATACAATAAATGTTTGCTTTTGATTTTAATACTGCTTTAAGGCCAAACTCTGGGTACAAAACATTTGTATCTGCATGGGTATCACAAAGGTGTTCCAATATGCCCCCCACACCGGAAGTGACGTCACCGCGCACCCGGAAATGCCTCCTCACATACCGACGCGTTGCTTCGTGACTTCCTGAGGATATATTGGAACTCCTTTGTGATACCCATGCAGTACACCTCTAGCATGAGGTGATATAGCGTTGTACAAAGAAGAAGGAGCATGTGAGTGGGCATTTTATATGTTATTGTATATACATGATGGATTAAAATAGATTACACTATGGAAGGTCTTCTTGATTATCTATGATCCTGGGAGAGGTTTGCTGTGCACTATATGGAGGCTTGGAGTGAGGAGCGCTTACTACCCTGAGGGGAGCCTGTGAGGAATCTGCCTGTAATGATTGGTGTAATCCTCTGAGCGAGCTGTCCGTGGGGTCGATGTAAGGAGGTGAGGGGGCATTTTGGCCACTGTGGGTGGGTGTGTGTGTGTGCGTGTGTGTGTGCGTGGGGGGTGCGTGTGGGTGTGTGCGTGGTGGCGTGTCTGTGTGTGCGTGTGGCGTGTCTGTGTGTGCGTGTGGCGTGTGTGGTGTGTGTGTGGCGGGTGTGTGGTGTGTGTGTGGTGGGGGGGGGTGTCTGTGTGTGCGTGTGGTGGTGTCTGTGGGTGTGTGGGTGTGTGGGGTGTGGGGTGTGGGGTGGGGGGTGTGGGGTCGGTGGGGGTGGGGGTGGGGGGGGGGGGGGGTGGGTGGGTGGTGTGGTCTGTGTGTGTGTGGGGTGGGGGGGTGTGGGTGGGGTGTCGTGTGCGGTGGGGTGGGGGGGGGTGTGTGGGTGGGGGTGGTGGGTGTGGGTGGGGGTGTCTGGTGGGGGGGGGGGGTCTGTGTGTGCGTGGGGGGTGTGGTGTGGGTGTCTGGTGGTGTGGGTGGGTCTGTGGGGTGGGGTGTCTGTGGGTGTTGTGGGGGGTGGGGGGTGGGTGTGTGTGGGTGTGGGGGGGTGGTGTGTGGGGTGTCTGTGTCTGTGGGGTGGGGTGTCTGTGGTGGGTGTGGTGGGTGGGGGGGGGGGGGTGTGGTGGGGGTGTGTGTGGGTGTTTGTTGTGGGGTGTCTGTGTCTGTGTGTGGGGGGGTGGTGTGGGTGGGGGTGGTTTTGGGTGTCTGGGTGGGGTGTGGGTGTCTGGGGGGGTGTGGGGGGGTGGGGGTGTGTGGGGGGGGTGTGTGGGGTGGTTTTTGGTGGGGTGTGTGTGTGGGGGGGGGTGGGGGGGGTGTGTGGGGGGGGTGGGGGGGGGGTGTGTGTGGTGGGGGGGGGGGTTTGTGTGGGGGGGTGTTGTGGTGTTTTGTGGGGGGGGGGGGGGGGGGTGTGTGTGGTGGGGTGTGTGGTGGGGGGGGTGGTGGGGGGTGGGGGGTGTGGGGGGGGGGGGGGGGGGGTGGGGGGGGGGTTGGGGGGGTGGGTGGGGGGGGGTGGGGGGGGGGGGTGTGGGGGGGGGGGGGGGGGGGGGGGGGGTGGGGGGGGTGTGGGGTGGGGGGGGGGGGGGGTGTGTGGGGGGGGTGGGGGGGGGGGGGGGGGGGGGGGGGTGGGGGTTTGTGTGGGGGGGGTGGGTGTTGGGGGGGGGGGGGTGTGGGGGGTGTGTGTGGGGGGTGTGTGGGGTGTCGTGGGGGGGGGGGGGGGGGGGGGGGGGGGGTGGGGGGGGGGGGGGGGGGTGTGTGGGTGGGGGGGGGGGGGTGTGTGGGGGGGTTGTGGGGGTTTTGTGTGTGTGTGGGGGGGGTGTGGGGGGGGGGGGGGGTGGGTGGGGGGGGTTGTGTGGTGGGGGGGGGGGGTGGGTGGGGGGGTGGGGTGTTTGTGGTGTTTTGGGGGGGGGGGGGGGTTTGGGGGTGGGGGGGGGGGGGGGGGGGGGTGGGGGGGGGGGGGGGTGTGGGGGTGGTTGGGGGGTGTGTGGGGGGGGGGGGGGGGGGGGGGGGGGGGGGGGTGTGGGGGGGTGGGGTTGGGGGTGTGTGGTTGGGGGTGGGTGTGGGGGGGTGGGGGGTGGGGTTTGTGGGTGTGGGGGGTTGTGGGTGTGTGTGGGGTGGGGTGGGTTGGGTTGGGGGGTTGGGGGGGGGGGGGGGTGCGTGTTTTGTGGTGGGGGGTGGGGTGGGGGGGGGGGGGGTGGGGGTTGTTTGGGGGGGGGGGGTGTGTGGGGTGTCTGTGGGTGGGGGTGGGGGGGGTGTGGGGGGGGTGGGGGGTGTGGGTGTGTGTGGTGGAAAAGTGTCACACTAGACCGGGTGTCGGCAACCCGTGGCTCCAGAGCCGCATGCGGCTCTTTTTCACCTTGGCTGCGGCTCCAGAGCACACTGCCCACCAGGTGACAGGCAATAGGGCAGCAATGGGCAAAACTACGGCCCGGCGGACCTTTTAAATCCAGCCCGCGGGAGGCTCCCGCTAGGCTCCTCTCACAGTCCGCCCTGAAGACCGGTGTAGCATGAAAATCTGTCTCCTATGAGGATCTGTCCCCCTCGACGTATCTGCGCATGTGCCGGAGATCGCCGATCGGTTTGCTAATGCCTGAAACTGGCACATGCGCAGATACGTCGAGGGGGACAGATCCTCATAGGAGACAGATTTTCATGCTACACCGGAACGGCGAGGGAACACGGCGAGAGGAACACGCGTAGCAAAGGTAAGTGAATTGACACAGGGGGGACTTGGGGACTTAATATGGGGAATGAATTAATATGGGGGATGAATTACTATATGGGGGATGAATTAATATGATGAATGAATTACTATAGGGGGGATGAATTACTATAGGGGGGATGAATTACTATAGGGGGATGAATTACTATAGGGGGGATGAATTACTATAGGGGGGATGAATTACTATAGGGGGGATGAATTACTGGGGGGATGAATTACTATAGGGGGGATGAATTACTATGGGGGATGAATTGCTATATGGGGGATGAATTACTATGGGGGATGAATTACTATATGGGGGAGTTTTTTCAGTTTTAAAAATGTGGCTCTCAAAATAAATTTCAATCGTGGTTTTGGCGAGATTTGGCTCAGTTGAAAAAAAAGGTTGCCCACCACTGACCTAAGGCTATGATTGTGATTATGACGATACACTGTGGCCCTGATTAACCCTTTGCTCACTGGGCCCTTAAACCCCCTTCATGACCAGAGCGCTTTTTGCAATATATGCAGTGTCGGATTTGTTTTAAATGTTGCAATGGTTTTGCGGCTCCCAGTCTTTTTTTCCCTCTCGGAAACGGGTCCAAGTGGCTCTTTATGTCTTAAAGGTTGCAGACCCCTGCACTAGACTATGGCTTGACAAATTTGCTTTGAATCTAGGAGCCAGCTAAAAAAAAAAAGTTAAGAGCCATTTTTTTTGGGTTTTTTTTTTTAACCACTTGCCTATTGGTTACTTTCACCCCCTTCCTACTACCCAGGCCAAATTTTCAACTTTCAGCACTGTCACACTTTAAGCCATGGTTCACATCTGTACAGTCATGTGGGCCGTGATTTGCGCGGGCACGAAAGCCCATTCGTTTAAATGGACTCCTGTGCCACAGAACACGCAGGGAAGAAGTTCCTGCACTACTTTGGAAATCGCAGCCCATACGGGAACAGGAGGTTCCCAGTACGATTGCGATTTCCAGTGCAGGCCGCATGCCTTTAGAACAATGGCACCCACCTGCAGGTCCTGCATTCTGTTTGGGTGGTGCAGCTGCAGGTATTTGTGCCTGTCCCACAAGGGCACCACCTACACAGATGTGAACCAAGTGTAAAGAACAATTGTATCTTTTTTTTTTTTTTCTAGACAGAGTTTTCTTTTAGTTATATTTAATCACCATTGGGTTTTTATTTGTTACCCCAACTACATGAAGAGGCTGAAAAATAAAAAAACAAAAAGGCCGCACTGCTGTGGACACTGACGAGGCTTGCACTAAAGGCACTGTTGGTGGCCACACCAAACTGTCATGCTGCCGGTTACTGCTCCGAGGTAAGACAGGGTTGTCCCCAGAACGGCAGGTGTCACTGAGCCGCACAGGGGACACTTCCTGCTTGCTCTGCTCCTCCTGTGACCCGTCCCTCCTACTAATGTACAGCCCCACATCTCCCCTAACCCCCCCCCCACATTCCCACCACTCTCCTCCCTCACAGCGCCGCTCCTCCCTACTATCCGCAGCCTCACACACTAGTGACACCTGCAGGCTGCACGGCAATGTTGCACCTGGCTGCGCTCCCCTAGGCTACACCACCGGGGCTGACAACAGTCCGGGCGCCAGGCTATATTTTCTATTCGCCATGGCCACCAGGCACCCGGGATTTGTCAAACCCTGTACTAGATGACTGCACAAATCTGCAAAAAAAATACAAAAAGTAACCCACTTCGTGTATTTACTTTGCCTGAAGCGCATCTTTCACATGTATGCACACCTCAATAGCAGTAGTATAGAAAAACTACAATGAAAACACATTCATTGCCAATATTTAAAAGGCATAAGATGTTTATCAATATGAAACCAGGGAGCAATATTCAAACATAAAACTGATTAAAACAAAGTAAAAACTTTACACTGAAAGTACCCTCTGAACAGGGTAAATAGCTATACAAATAAAACATTGCAACAAAAGCAGTCCAATGGGGTAACATACCTCTATCACACTGTGTAAAACATTTTAAAAGTCTTTTTCGCAAGACAAAGCATGATACAATCTTGATGTATATTTACAGTCTGGCATAAAAGTTGAGCTACAAATATTTTACATTAAAATAAAGGCCTTGGTGAGAAGTATTAAACACTTGCAGGAACGTAGGATAGACACTGCTTGGAAGCTTTCCCCCCCATGAAGGGAAGATGTAGTCATTTGCCAGAGACATCCAGATTCAGATCTTTGCCAAAGTTAAACTCCGCCATTGTCCGTTAGATCAAGAATACAATGTTTTCTGAAACCATGATATGGTTTGCTTCCTCCATAAGCTCCAAAGCAGCTTTCACCTCACCCTGTGAGAAAGGTGAATCATTGTTCTTGTTAATGGCATCCAAGAGGGCTGGCATAGCGATGGATTGAGCGTGGGCAGATTTAAAGGCATCCAGAAGGGCGGCCTTGAAAGTCTTCAGCCTGTAAACAAAGCAGTATAAATTTTAGAACAATCCGGATTGGTTAGCGTGGGAAACTGCTACATAATCAGGATTTGTACATCATGTCATAAATGGAGTGCAATGCTAAGCCCTTTCCTGCCCCCCCATTAAAGTGGAACTTTAGTCAGAAAATGAAGCCCTTATAGATCACTTCAGGTTGGCCCCTTTTGCAGTTCTAGCTGTAAAACATTAAACATAAGTGCCTATACTGTTTAAGATCTAGTAATACATTTTCTCACACTCACATGCTCAGTTGCTCTATTTTTCAGCACTGTGCTGAAAGTCTAAAGGCCAATTTACTGAAAGCCTAAAAGTTACTCAGGGGCTCTGGGCTTCAGCAAAATGGCAGGCTCCAGCAAGAAGAAACAGGAACAATGCTGGAGGCAAGTTTACAGCACACACTCATTTTGGTAGCTTTTTGGTTCCTTGCTAAAGAACATTATTTTTTATCAAGTTCTGCTTTAATCTCAAGTCTTCTGTAAGTCTGAACAGAAACACTCATCTCCTTGGTCCTCTGCAGCTCTCACTGGATCTTCCCTTTGACCTTGATTCATTATAAAAGATACATGGAGGTCAGCAGGAGGAACCTGTGATAATGCCAAAGTTTTGGGTTTCACTCCTGACTTCAGCAGATGATTTGGCAGCAGCAGGTAAAACTTTCACACACAGGGCTTAATTTCAAAAGGTGTATTACAGGGACAGGGTCATTCCAAATTTACTGTTTTTTTTAAATTGGAATTTTAGGTCCTCCTGCCTGCCATGGCAATCGAGAGGATTGAGTTGCTGAATTTATTTGCCATTAGAATGCAACCAGAGGATGCAGACACCTAGAGGGCCCCAAGCTGCCCCAACTCCTGTACTGGACTGAAACCTCCAAGAAAGGACAGCCACCCAACCCAGCTCTGAAATACCACATGTGGTTGGAGTGACCCGTCACCTAAACCCTGGAAAGTAATTGGGAGCGCCAACTACGGCACCAGCAGACTCACCTGTCTCCAGACAGCCCAGTCTCTTTTTCCTTCTCTGCCGGGGTCTCTGGTGCATGGGACTGAACTATAGTAGGAAAATAAAAAAAAGTGTTACAATTCACACCATACAACACACCACAAGCAAGGTTAAATCCAATGAAACAGTACTGACCATCGGGGGTCTCCTCCTCTGTGTCACTGAAGTCATAGGGATCATGTGCGTCTCCCTCAGCAGTGCTGGCTTTTCTAAAATACAAATTAAAGCAGATAAAGCACAGGTAATCCATTTTCTTTTGAACACAAAATCATAACCAGCAACTTGCAGTTGAACCTGAAGGGTGTTGGCCAATGAACTAGTAGCAAAAAGGATTAGGCATGGCATGGTTCTGGCCAGCTTAGTGGATTGCTTTAAAAAAGTCCTGGATGCTTTCTTAGATACACAGAATATAACTGGATACTAACATTTATAGGTAAAGTAGATCCAGGGAATATCCAATTGCCTCTGAGGGGATCACAAAGGAATTTTTTTCCCAGCAGCAAATTGGATCATGCTTTGCTGGGGGATTTTTTTTGCCTTCCTCTTGATCAACTGTGGGTATAGGATTATAACTTTTTTTTTTCTTCTATGGTTGAACTGGATGGACGTTTGTCTTTTTTCACCCAGACTAACTATGCATAGGCTAAATATTCTAGGAAAAAGAAAAAGTTTGTTGCTTGACCAGTCATGCGATTCCATTACTGCCCTGTACTGCCATGAAGATGCCCCCACTATTCCTAACTTCAGCTGTGTCCCTTACCTATCCATGAGGCTGACCGGTGTACAAGACGGCTCTCAGAAAGGTAATACTGTACTTGGCTGTCCACCTGCCACTGACCACACAAGATGGAACGGTCACATCTCTGCACACTGGCAACCCATATATTCCCCTAAAATTACCATCATAGTGAAGCTTTGCTTATCCACACCCCAAGTTTGCCACACATGCAAAACAGAAACCTTTGGGCCCCAGAGGTTGCTTTTGCGCTCCATTTTTCCATATTGGTGAAAGTGAGGGAGTCTGAGGTTGATGGGCAGAATGGCAATGATCACACGTTTTTAAAGCGGAGCTCCACCCAAATGGGGAAGTTCCGTTTTAATGCTTTGTTCCCAGCTCCCCATTAAGGACTGGCACCTTAGGGGAGTGGGGGACGGACAGAGCGGGTACCCAAATTTGACAGGTACCTGCTCCCACTTCCACTGCAATCGCCTAGGCCCCTTCCCCCCCCCCCCCCCCCCCGTAGTTTTCTGGGACATGACTGGTCCCAGAAGACTACTTGGCCATTTACAAAGCGCAGCGCTTCTCACGCATGCACAGTGGGCACCCAGCTGTCACAGCTGGGTGCCCACACTAAAGATTCCGGCACCAGGAAGAGAAGACGGCCGGTGAAATCAGCAGTGGTGAGGACACCGTTGGAATAAGGGACAGGTAAGTGGCTGTATTTTAAGTTAGTACTACAGTTTTTGTAGCGGCTGACTTTTTTTCCAGCTGGAACTCTGCTTTAAGTTATACAACGTTTGTCCTACAATTACTGTCTAATCAGATGTGATACCCTTCAAACCCCTGAAGAAAGTGCTAAATCTCTGAAATGCATCTGGTGAACAGAGACACATCAAACTTGTAGTAAGTCTTGGACCATTCTGTGTAATCAAATGTGTTATAATATTGTACTATAAGCTGTTATGCTGAGATTTTAGACACATTTTGTACAATAAAAAGGTGAAAAGAGCTTTTTTAAAATCTTCATAGTCTACGTGCTTTTAAAGTCTCAATTTGGGGAACCATCCTCTTTTCGTTAGCTGTTCACCTGCAATGTCACTTTGAAGTCCCAAGGTAGACATTTTGATGGACAAGGTATAAAACCACTCACTGCAGATGATACAATGTTACTCACCTTTTCTTTCTGGTCTTCCTTTCGGTCTGCACCTCTTCCTCTTCAGTATCAGAACCCTCATCTCTCTTCTTCCGCTTCTTCTCCTTCTCCAGAACCTGAAATGATACAGCTAGATTCAGCTCATTGGAATCCTAGTAATTGGGCACCTCCTACCTTAAAATAAACCCAAAATCTTTATGTAATCCATGTTCTAGAAGGTTTATTAGTGTGGGTTTCATAAACATTTTTGCAAAAGAACCATTTACCGTTTGAGATTTTCCTTATTTTTGATGACCACATTAAACAGACTTAACGGCCACTTTATTAGATACCCCTGTTCAATTGCTTGGTAACACAAATTGCTAATCAGCCAATCACATGGCAGCAACTCAATTCATTTAGACATCTAGATGTGGTGGAGACAACTTGCTGAAGTTCAAACCGAGCAACAGAATGGAGAAAAAAGGGGATTTAAGTGACTTTGAACATGGCACGGTTGTTGGTGCCAGACAGGCTGGTCTGGATATTTCAAAAACTGCTGATCTACTGGGATTTTCAGGCACAACCATCTCTAAGGTTTACAGAGAATGGTCTGAAAAATAAAATATCCAACGAGCAGAAGATGTGTGGACGAAAATGCCTTGTTGATGTCAGAGGAGAATGGGCAGACTGGTTCCAGATGATAGAAAGGCGATAGTAACTCATAACCACTCATTACAACCAAGGTATGCAGAATACCATCTCTGAATGCACAAGACGAGCCTTGAAGCAGATGGGTCAACAGCAGAAGACCTCAGCGGGTAGCAAGGTGTACCTAATAAAGTGGTCGTTGAGTGTAGATGTTTCCCTACTCATCTTTTCTGTTTTTCACTAGTTTTGCATTTGGCTAGGGTGAGTGTCACTACTGGTAGCATGAGAATACCTGGACCCTACAGAGGTTGCACAGGCAGTCCAACTACTCCAGGATTTCACATAAATACGTGCCATTGCCGGAAGGTTTGCTGTGTATCCCAGCACAGTCTCAAGAGCATGGAGGAGATTCCAGGAGACAGGCAGTTACTCTAGGAGAGCTGGACATGTATTTGCTCCTTTGTGCAAGGAGGAACAGGATGAGCACAGCCAAAGTCCTACAAAATGACCTCCAGAAGGCCACTGGTGTGAATGTCTCTGGTCAAACAATCAGAAATAGACTTCAAAAGGGTGGCCTGAAGGCATGATGTCCTTTAGTGGGCCCTGTGCTTCCTGCACGGCACCATCGAGTTCAATTGGCATTTGCCATTAACCAGAATTGGCAGGGCCATCACCGGCGCCCTATCCTCATCACAGAAAAATGGACTAACCTGCTGCATAATTTTTTCACTTTAATTTTCGGGGTGTCTTTGAATTCAGTCCTCTGTAGGTTGAGAAGTTTAATTTCCATCAAACGATGGGGCATCCTTACGTCCCTAACACATTGCCCAGTCCATATCAGTATATATATCCAGTAAGATATTTTCCCCCCTTGAAATCTGATGTGTTTTCAAAGCGTTCATTTAATTATTTTGAGCAGTGTATATTCAGACACAGGCCTGTTGCTTTTATACATTCAAAATGGCTGGTTCACTTTAGGCACAATATATTGTGCTACCAGGTAGAAAGCATAGCTTCCTGAAAATGCATCCGAGCACATCAGCAGCACACTAGGGTCAATCAACCCAAAAATGCAGTATGCTGAAATTCTCAACTGACCGCCGACAGTTGTTGCAAAGCGACATGGAAGCAAAAAGCAAGTATTTCACTATCTTTTAACTCACGGATATAGAACGACTAACATTAAATGGAAACTAGACAAATTTTGAAAGTAGTCAGTATTTGTTTTATATTATAGATTTGCCATTTAATGCGGAACTTTGCCCTCTCAATCAACACTATTGAATGACTATTTGTATCCTCATGCTTCTAGCATTAGTAAATATATAGGAAAGCATACAGTATTTACTGGTTTTAAACTTTTTTTTTTACATTCCTTCAGTTACTTGCTGGTAAATGATGTCATACAGCCCAGGGGTCTTCGGGGGGAGGGGGAGGGGGGGGGTTCCCAGCTAAGCACACCTTCCTGCCTGCACTAAAAGCACATGGATTCCAGAAGCAAATGTTACATGAATCATCTGCCCTTACTCAAGACAGCCAGGGCCAGAAATGCTAAGGGGGCGTTTTTCAACGTGTTTTCTCAGCAGAACATAGCATAGAAACATGGATGGATGGGGGAGATTGCTTTGAATAGTAAAAATGAATTAGATAGCGTTTTCAGTTTGTAATGCTCAGATGCAGTGAAGTTCCCCTTAAAGCCAATTTTAAAAATAAAAGAAACAGCCATGCTTTGCAGAACATTCTGGGAGGTCATTCAAAACAAAATGGTGGAAAGTTTATTTTCAGGCTTTTTTCCTGGAACTAGGTTCACCTATGCATTGTTTAAAGTGCATGTTGACATGCTTGTCCATATGCACCAACATGCTTTACATGTGTAAAAAGGTAAGATATTTCAGCGAGTGTTAAATACAAACTCATAAAAAGCAGCAGTGCACAGTAAAGTAAACCCTAAATCCTTCAAGAGACATATATAAAATGTTAAGTGCAGCGCTAAATATAATCCGGATAAACGTATAGTTGCAATGTTCATAAGTGGGTTAACAGTCCACAGTAAAAAGAGCTCAAAGGAGATAATATTCCCAAAGTCGTCGCTTTCATAAGACTCAGTGAGAGGCAGGATATGTATAAAATGAGCACTCAGACTCGCAAAGAAAATGCGCAATGTAGCAACAAAACGGAGGTCTGCCAAGAGGTCCCTTTCAGGATACGAATGCAATCAGCCCGGGATGGATTGACATCTGGATACATATTCTCAAACCGGAGGTCCACTTTAAGGACACGGATGGAGCCTCTTCAGTACAGTGGGATAGTCACCAGGGGGAGCTCTGGGGGATTAAATGCTCAATGCAGAGCAACAAATGGAAATACCCATAGTGTAGTATTGTTAGAAAAAATTTAATAAAGGATGTTGTAAAGCAGCAAAATAGATACCCTCATACATGTGAATGCTGTGCGCCAAACATGTGCCAAGATGTTGTATCAAAAACAGTAGGCGGGAATGAGTATTGCAGAAAAAAGCTGCTATGAGCACTAACCAGCTGGTGATCAAATGGGAGCCGCCGGACCTCCGTGATCCGGCGGCGTGACGTCAAAGCTCGCAGGCTCCTCCAAGACGCATTTTGTACACTAGTACGTCTTCAGAAGGGGTAACCTTCCTGCCTACTGTTTTTGATACAACATCTTGGCACATGTTTGGCGCACAGCATATACATGTATGAGGGTATTTTGCTGCTTTACAACATCCTTTATTAAATGTTTTCTAATAATACTACACTATGGGTATTTCCATTTGTTGCTCTGCATTAAGCATATAATCCCCCAGAGCTCCCCATGGTGACTATCCCACTGTACTGAAGAGGCTGCATCCGTGTCCTTAAAGTGGACCTCCAGTTTGAGAATATATATCCAGATGATGTCCACCCATCGCGGGCTGATTCCATTCGTATCCTGAAAGGGACCCCTTGGCAGACCTCTGTTTTGTTGATACATTGCGCATTTTCTTTACGCATCCGGTGAGTGCGCATTTTATACATATCCTGCCTCTCACCGAGTCTTATGAAAGCGACGTCTTTGGGAATATTATAATCACCTTTGAGCTCTTTTTACTGTGGACTATTAACCCATTTATGAACATTGCAACTATATGTTTATCCGGATTATATTTAGCGCTGCACATATATATATATGCATGCTTTACATGTGTGTAGACATGTGATTTCATCAAACCTATCAGTGTGCATTAATGCATACCCATGAACCCAGCTGCAATGAACCTACATGAGCTCAGAGTGCACATGTGTACTATAAACTTCAACTGTCTATGACCATGCTAGGGAGAGGTCCCATTACTTCCTCTTCTAGTAAGAGGACACATTTTTCTGTTTAGCAAAGGAAACAAACATTGGGCATGTATTAGACAGATACTGCATGTTTTTTTTTTCCCCCTGACATTAACTACAATATCGAGAGGCTCTTTTACTGCAAGTAAAAGATTTCAAAAGTTTAGGGGGGAAAAAAAGAAAAAAAATTTTAAAAGCAAAAGGAATTCACTCTCAAAAAGGAGAACTCAGTAACAGCAGCCAATATATCTTGTCACAATAGATGAACTTTAAAGTATTCAGCACTCTCACCTTTTTAAAATAGGCGTATTGGACGAGCTCCACAGCAGCCTCTGCATCCTGCAGCTGTACGTTCTTACTCATTCTCACTTTGGCATGAGCTGTGGACAGACGGATCAGAGTTTCCAGACTACGAGCAGTTACAGGAGATGTCTGGAAGCGGAAAGAGGAAAGGTTAGTTTGCACTTATGCTACCAAAAGAAGAGACATGCAGCTAGAATGCACTCATTGCAAGGCAAGCACTTTCAACAAGCAGCAATAATGCTTTGTGGCACATTCTGAAGCCTTGGAACTCACCCGGGCCACATCAGTGCTCATCTGATCCTGGTTTCTTAGACGGGAATACTCTTCAGCTATGTAATTGGCAGCCTCTGCTGTGAGCACGGGTTTGAACAGTTTTGCCACATGGATGTATTTCCGCATAAACTCCATGCTAACAGTCTTCTCTCTGCATGGGATAAAGTCAACATCAGAACTTCAACAGGACAAGGTATGGGTAGACAAAGCTAAACTTAACGCGCCTCTCCTCACTGGCACCAGCATCTTACACAGCCTCTTTGGGTGCTTTGACGGAACTACTTGGCTGGGCCGGAATGATCCAAATCTTACATATACACACAGGAGGTCAAGAACCTACTTTAACCTGTGTATGTACAGCTCAGTATACATCCATTTCAACCATAAGAAAAAAAAAAAGTTATAATCCTATACCCACAGTTGATCCAGAGGAAGGCAAAAAAAAAAAAAAAAAAAACCCAGCAAAGCATGATCCAATTTGCTCCTTCTGGGAAAAAAAATTCCTCCCTGATCCCAAGAGAGGCAATCGGATATTCCCTGGATCAACTTTACCTATAAATGTTAGTATCCAGTTATATTCTGTGCATCTAAGAAACAATCCAGGCCTTTCAAAAAATTCCAGACAGGCAGACAAATATTATTGCAGAAGGGATACAGTATGTCTGCAATAAAGAGCCTCTTCACAATTTTTAATTCCCCTAACTCCCACACGACAGCTTCATATCCTTCAATTTATTGCAGTCACAATATAAATTAAATTGTGACTGGTTTCCATGAATTATTGCAGTGTAACATCAAAACATATTTGAGTTATAATCGAGCTCATGAGAAAAAAAAAAAAGAAAAAAAAAAAAAAGAAGAAGTAGAACCAATAGTGTCTGTTTTGGGCAAGCCCCAGCAATTACGTGCATATTATTGGTTTTAAGGCAGACCCGTATTGGCGTCATCACTGTGCTGAAGTAGCAGCTTTAACTAAATCAGGTCTTAGAAGTCTAAAAGCTGTGAGAGTTGGAGTTACAGGAATATATTATCTGAAGGTTATGGGATAAGGTGGCTGGGTTGTTTAAAACAATTTCTGCGAACACACCACCTAAACCTGTATAATGCAACGGCTTATTATACTTGCCCATACCCAGTGCCCATGCCTTGGCTCTGTGGTGAAGCTATGCTTGCTGAATATATGACAGCATCAGACATTGTCCCATAGTTATGTTGCATCCAACAGGAGGAACCATAGCACGCAGCAGAGGGCCAAACATCCAACATACCCGGAAGCAGGACATTGGAACAGGCAATGGTTGCTTTACAAAAGTGGACTAAATACAGGAGTGGGTTTGCTTCATAGGAGAACACAGGTTTTATATAGCAACTAATTTGTACACCAACCAAATATTCCAGAGCCCAGAAACAGACTAGATTGTAAAAGTACAATGGAAAACTTACCTTCTTTTCTTGACTCCATGCAGAAGGCTGTCGTGTTTCTCGTACACTTGCAGTTCTTGCTGCTCTTCATGGCTAACATTGGGGTCTTCAGTGGCCAAAATATCAACAGAGCTGCCCAGCGGCATAGCTAGATTGACAAATGTAAGATTCATATTTAGGTACAGCACCTTACATACTACAGTCAGTAATCGGTCTTAGAGGAAAGGCCAGACAATGTTCAAAGCTATTTTGTAGCAGCAGCCAGATGGACTGTGAAAATGGAGGACTGCAGCTGTCAATATACACGTTGGAGCACTATCAAACTTTAGCCACTACACCAGCCTCTCAAAAACATTGGGAGCCCTATAAATAACTTCAGGTCTCAAGTAGCCAATCTCTATACCTACAGTTCACTGTGTATTAGCATGATGGTCAAACAACAATGACAGACGGCCACAAACGATCATTTGTGTCAGCAGTTAAGCTGGCCATACATTATACAATGTTCTTGTTCAATTCCCCTTAATTAACCTTCAACTATGTAGTGCAAGGGCCTGCATGATTGCATACAAATTGACAGTGTATACATTTGACCTCAATGTTTTGTTAAATCTAAAGTAAATTGTACAAGAACATTGTATAATGTATGGCCAGCCTTACTTATCTGAGGCAGAAACGCCTTGCTGCTCAAGAAACCCGTAGCAAGCCCTGGAGGGACCCCCAGTTTGGAAAGCCTGCCTCCCATCCCTACAGACTTGGATCTTCTAATGTTACCTGGAAGCATGCAGTCTATACAGCTGTAAAGATAAAGAAATTCATTATCAGCTACCTAATTACAGCTATTGCAAGGGGGCAAGAGATCAGACTTCACTGTCTGCACCTTTGAGATCAATGTCATTAGAAAGCAAAGGACTAACAGGCCTAAACGTGCACTAAAGGTTAGGTGCAGGACATGCCTTATCTAGCCTCAGAATTTCACTGTAGCCTGCCATCTGTTAATTATTTATTTTCTTTGTATAAACTCACCATCTCCATCTTGTTCTCCGGCAGCTCTGTAGCGGTGCATACGCAGCACATGATCAGAGATCTCCCGGTCCTGTTCTGGGTCCATCTGATCCAGCATGATGAAAAGCAGATCGAAACGTGACAACAGGGAGTCTTGGAGGCCAATGTTATCCATAGGAGTCTTGTACTGGTCATACTGGAAAACAGAAGACAGAAGCATTAAAATGAGACAAAAAAAGCGTTGTTTGGTCTACACATCCTACTCCATCTAAAACCAATTTCATGTTTGGCACAGCCATTGGCACAATTAGTCACATGTCGTCTCAAGGACTTCTTACCATAATGTACACTATTACCCATTACAAAGCCAAAATGAGGAACTATAGACAAAAAGTATGAATGTTTTAAAAGGGTTAGTTCAGTTTTGTTCTGAATTCTAGAGCATCCAAGGGGCCCCAGTGCATTATATATGATTGTGCAGTCAAGAGAAATTCTTCCTTACAATCGCAAACCTTTAGACCAGGGGTGTCCTACCTTTTGGCCACATTGAAAGAGGAGGAATTGTCTTTGGCCACAGTTGCTCGGGCACACCAGCCCATTAATTTGAATGGGATGCTGTGCCTGCTTTTCGTGTAGGAAAAAAGAATGGGGTAAAAAAAAAAAAAAAAAAAAAAAAATTTTGAACCGCAGTGGCCAAGAATTTGCATGGTGCTTTTGCACCATGCAATTTCTCGTCAGCTCCCACAACTGAAAATGCATTGTATTTTTAGATTCATGGGGATGCCATTCAGAATGACGCAACCACTCCCAGTAGTGTGAACCTAACCTAAATTCAGACAGTTTGTAAAATCTGCAATTTTTATATCCGTAACAGACATTCATGGACAGATGTAAAAATCATGGATTTTACAAATTGCCCTTAAAATTTAATGGCAGTTAGCAACCCTGTTTTTTTCTGTTTAAGGAGCTACAGGGAAGGTTGTGGGTCGTGGGCTTCAGGGGGAGCAATTGAAATCTGAATGGGGGGGGCACAGCCCACTTCAACAGCTCTCCTTCCCCAATACAGCCAAGTGCCATTTGCTTGCCTGGTGCTCTGTTGAATCCCTGCTGTAGCTGTTGCGGGTGCTTTACACGGTTTTCCCTGCAACCCTCCCATGCATGCTAGCTTATCAGGCATGACCCGGGCCACATCCTGAATTCTCCTGGGCCAGATGCGGCCTGGACACCCCTGCTTTAGGCCATCCATGGCCATAAAACATCAAGCCAGTAGGACAACTGTAGTCTTACGATATATTAAGGACAGATATACCTCTGAGGAAAGATGTTATAGGAGTAATGTTTCCACGAATATGGCATTGCACATGTTGATGTGCCTGCATAGTAGGTTTAATCATGGGAAGTTTCTTTTAAACTAGCAAATGTTAACTAACCCTTTAGGGCTGAATTTGATAAGCATGTGCATTCTAATATTTTTAGTGAGCACGATCATGCTTGATCAGTGACACAAACATTAAAGCCAGGAACACCCCCCCCCCCCACACACACACAAATAAATGGATATGTATATATCTCTATATCTATATACAGGTGAAACTCGAAAAAATTAGAATATTGTGCAAAAGTTCATTTATTTCAGTAATAAAAATTAAAAGGTAAAACTAATATATGAGATAGACTCATTACATGCAAATCAAGACAGTTCAAGCCGTGATTTGTCATAACTGTGATGATTATGGCTTACAGCTCATGAAAACCCCAAATCCACAATCTCAGAAAATTAGAATATTGTGAAAAGGTGCAATATTCTAGGCTGTATCAAAGCACATTAATAGAAAGTTATGTGGAAGGGAAAAGTGTGGAAGAAAAAGGTGCACAAGCAGCAGGGATGACCGCAGCCTGGAGAGGATTGTCAGGAAAAGGCCATTCAAAAGCGTTGGGGACTTTCACAAGGAGTGGACTGAGGCTGGAGTCAGTGCATCAACAGCCACCACACACAGACGGATCCTGGACATGGGCTTTAAATGTTGTATTCCTCTTGTCAAGCCGCTCCTGAACAGCAAACAACATCAGAAGCGTCTTACCTGTGCTTAAAAAAAAAAAAAAAAAAAAAAAAAAAAAAACAAAACAGACCTGGTCTGTTGCTCAGTGGTCCAAAGTCCTTTTTTCTAATGAGAGCAACTTTTGCATCTCATTTGGAAACCAAGGACCCAGAGTATGGAGGAAGAATGGAGAGGCACACACTGCAAGATGCTTGAAGTCCAGTGTGAAGTTTCCACAGTCTGTGTTGATTTGGGGAGCCATGTCATCTGCTGGTGTTGGTCCACTGTGCTTCATTAAGTCCAGGGTCAACGCAGCCGTCTACCAGGAGATTTTGGAGCACTTCATGCTTCCTTCCGCAGACAAGCTTTATGGGGATGCTGACTTCATTTTCCAGCAGGACTTGGCACCTGCCCACACTGCCAAAAGCACCAAAACCTGGTTCAATGACCGTGGGATTACTGTGCTTGATTGGCCAGCAAACTCGCCTGACCTGAACCCCATAGAAAATCTATGGGGCATTGCCAAGAGAAATATGGGAGACATGAGACCGAACAATGCAGAAGAGCTGAAGGCCGCTATTGAAGCATCCTGGTCTTCCATAACACCTCAGCAGTGCCACAGGCTGATAGCTTCCATGCCACGCCACATTGAGGCAGTAATTGCTGCAAAAGGGGCCCAAACCAAGTACTGAGTACAAATGCATGCTTATACTTTTCAGAGGTCCGATATTGTTCTATGTACAATCCTTGTTTTATTGATTGCATGTAATATTCTAATTTTCTGAGATTGTGGATTTGGGGTTTTCATGAGCTGTAAGCCATAATCACCACAATTATGACAAATCATGGCTTGAACTATCTTGCTTTGCATGTAATGAGTCTCATATATTAGTTTCACCTTTTAAGTTGCATTACTGAAATAAATGAACTTTTGCACGATATTCTAATTTTTCGAGTTTCACCTGTATGTATGTATGTATCAGCTGCAGTAAATGAGACAGACATAAAACATGGGGAAAAAGTGCATGTACCGAGTCTTGTTTTTTTTCATTCAAATGCACTTTAATAGCCAGCTGGAATAATGAACAGCACAGGCCACCATACATTGCACTATAGAATGTCACTATAGCTCACCCTTCCATAGACTGGATTGGCTGCAGCCAACACACTGCAGCGGGCGTTCAGTCTGGCATGAATGCCAGCTTTGGCGATGGTGACACGACCCTGTTCCATGACCTCATGGATGGCTGTGCGGTCCATGTCGGACATTTTATCAAACTCGTCGATGCAGACCACACCGCGGTCACCCAGCACCATGGCACCAGCCTCCAGTCTTCTCTCCCCTAAAAGAAAAGGAATATGCCATTAAAATGAAAAACCCATTTACAGAAAATCTATCATGACACCATAGGTGACTTACAAATGTTAGCTACCAGACTAATCTTTTCTGTACCACCAACTTGGATCAATGATGCAGCATGTGAAATCGGAACACATGATGGACAATCTGGTGACTGATCAGCTTAAAAGTCAAACAACTTGAATTGCCAAAAAAAACCCCAAAAGATAAAAACGAACCAAAAGTGAATTTGGTGTAGAGTTATTCATTTTAAGGTCATCACAGAGAACAGGGGGGCACTCTTTACATCTGGAGGAAGAAATTTAACCTCCAAATATGGAAATGCTTCGTCACAGCAAAAGCGGTGAAAATGTGAAATAGATTCCCTCAAGAGTTGGTTCTGGCCAGATCAATAGATTGTTTTAAAAAAAGGCCTGAAATCTTTTCTAGAAACACAAAATATAACTAGATACTTATGTTGATAGGTAAACTTGATCTAAGGAATATCCGATTGCCTTTCGAGGGATCAGGAAGGATTTTTCCCTGCTGGAGCAAATTGGATCATGCTTAATAGGAAGTTTTTTGCCTTCCTCTGGATCAACAGTGGGTATAGGATTGTATAACATATACTGGCTGAACTTGAGGGAATTGTATCTTAATTCAACCAGACTATGTAATTATCTATATATAAATTTTCTATAGAATACCAAGCCCCTTTCACATGACAGATGACCTTGAGAGTGGAACCAACCAGGATCTACAAAGAATGTAAGTGTGGGGCCCCTTTATAGTCTTCTCAAGACACCTGTTGCCAGGCCACTCATTTCAACAATCTTCCCATCAGATTATGGGTGCTTTTTCCCCCATCATGTACATGTTATTTACCTATAAAAGCTTCCCCAAAAGTCAGAAGACTGTTGCTGGGATCACTATCTTAGATGTCAGAGCTGTGGCCACATAGCGTTCCCCTCAACTACTTCCCCAGAAGCTGCATAAAAAAGGTTGGAGAGGTGGAGCAGAGGAGAGGGCTACGAATGCAAGGACGGAGGGAGCTGTGCTAGCGTAGCCACATTTTCTAGAAATTTCAATCCTTAAGAAAGCAATTCATCCTTAAGGAAGCAAACAAGCGGAACTTCCCCTTTTGGGTAAAGTAAAACTTTAATTTAGAATAGGGTGGTATGCAGAAGAATTAAAAGGATGTGTACCAAGTTTGTTTCCTTGTCTATACATCAGTACATTCCCTGTATTATGCATCAGAAAACCTGTACGTTTTATTTCTGTTGGTCAGTGTTTCTCTCTCTGATGTTATATATTCTGCAATAAAATTCATTGTAAAAGAAAGGATGTTATGGATAGAGAAGGAAGGGTTAAAAACCCCTAGCAGGTTTGCTGTGTCCTACTGGGGATAGATTTCTTTTCACATCCCTTCTTGGAGATGCAGCAGGAAGTGAGAGGAAATCTCCCCAAAAAGTGAGAAATTTACAATTAAATATTTTCCTAACTAGACAATTTCCCTTCACCTCTTGCTCCCACCTGCCATATTAGCTCTAAAATTTAGTGTTTCTCCTCGCTACACCCGCTGGCAGAAATCGTGAAATGTTGGCATTGATATTGAAAATATGACTGATCATGCCAAAAAATGCTCTTTTATTGAAGGATGATGATCATATGAAGCGATTATTAAATAGTTGTTTTGGCTCCTTTTTAAATCATATTAACAGAAATCACCCAAAATGACCCGGATCAAAAAAGTTTCCATCCCCTGGAATGTTTGGCCTTGGTACAGACACACAAGGTGACACACACGGGTTAAAATGCCAATTAGAGGTTAATGTCCCCCATCTGTGGCTTTTTAAATTGCAATTAGTGTCTGTGTATAAATAGTCAATGAGTTTGTTAGCTCTTACATGGAAGCTCTGCCTAGGCTAGATACTGAGTCATGGGGATCAGAGAAGAACAGTCAAAAGTCCTGCGTAACAAAGTAATGGAACTTTATAAAGATGGAAAAGGACATAAAAGATGTCCAAAGCCTTGAATATGCCAATCAGTACTGTTAAATCACCTATTAAGAAGTGGAAAGTTCGGGGATCTCTTGATACCAAGCCAAGGTCAGGTAGACCAAGAAAGATTGCAGCCATAACTGACAGAAGAATTGTCCGGGATTCAAAGAAAAACCCAGAGGCAACCTCAAAAGAAATACAGGCTGCCCTGGAAAAAGATGGTGTGGTTGTTTTTAAGGAGTACAATACGGTGATACTTGAACAAAAATGAGCTGTTTGGTCGAGGTGCCAGAAAGAAGCTTTTACTGCACCAATGCCACAAAAAAGCCCGGTTACAATATGCCTGACAACACCTTGACATGTCTAACCAGGCCTTCTTGTGTCATTGATGCAGTAAAAGCTTCTGGCACCTCGACCATGCAGCTCATTTTTGTTCAAGTGTCATCATATTGTGCTCCTTCAAAACAACCACACCGTCTTTTTCCTGAGCAGCCTGTATTTCATTTGAGGTTACCTGTGGGTTTTTCTTTGAATCCCGGACAATTCTTCTGTCAGTTATGGCTGCAATCTTTCTTGGTCTACCTAACCTTGGCTTGGTATCAAGAGATCCCCGAACTTTCCACTTCTTAATAGGTGATTTAACATTACTGATTGGCATATTCAAGGCTTTGGACATCTTTTCATGTCCTTTTCCATCTTTATAAAGTTCCATTACTTTGTTACGCAGGACTTTTGACTGTTCTTCTCTGATCCCCATGGCACAGTATCTAGCCTAGTCAGTGCTTCCACGCAAGAGCTAACAAACTCATTGACTATTTATACACTGACACTAATTGCAATTTAAAAAGCCACAGATGGGGGACATTAACCTCTAATTGGTATTTTATCCTGTGTGTGTCACCTTGTGTGTCTGTACCAAGGCCAAACATTCCAGGGTATGGAAACTTTTGATCTGGGCCATTTGGGTGATTTCTGTTATTATGATTTAAAAAGGAGCCAAACAACTATTTGATAATAAATGGCTTCACATGGTCAACATCCTTCAATAAAAGAGCATTTTTTGGCATGATCAGTCACATTTTCAATATCAATGCCAAAATTTCACAATTTCTGCCAGGGTATGTAAACTTTTGAGCACAACTGTATGTGTTATATATATATATATATATATATATATACATACACACACACACACACACACACACATACACACACACTTATGTAAAAGCATAATACTTGGCAATCTTCATTTATACATAATTTTCACACAATGGAACACTATCAGATGCTGAACTTACCAGTTTCTTGATCAGTTGTAACAGCAGCAGTCAAACCCACCCCGGAGGAGCCTCGGCCTGTGGTTGGGATGGCACGGGGAGCCGTAGAAAGCACATATCGTAAAAGCTGAGACTTGGCTACAGAGGGATCACCTATTTAAAAAAATAAATAAAAGTTTACATATTTACTGTGCGTATTTTGCAAAGAAAAAAAAGCTAACGTGTGAATGGCAGTACCATAATTATTGAGTGTTTGAAAGGTTCTAATGAATAATTACTTTACTTACTAACAGCAATTTCTATGTACAGCTCCTTGCTACACTAGAGAAATCTTGGTTATGTAAATGTTCTTACCACAGACTGTAAAATTTATGAGTGATGAAGAATCAAGAACTGCCCTAGGCACAAGAAGGGCAAATTAAAATGTATTCTAGTTTCTAGCAAAATGTTTATGGAAAATTTCTTTAGGGTGGTGACATCAAAAAACTTCCTAACAAGCTAGAAGCCACTAGCTGGAGCTAATGGGGTACACACTTGTTTGTTGGAATTCCAATTGCAAAGACCCAGTGTGGGCGCACTTTCTGTTCCCAACAAAACCTGCTATTTAAGGCGTAGGTAAATCTGTATCCTGCAAATCAGCCCTAAAAGAAAATGAAAAATGCAACCAGCATACCTATTAGCAGAACGTTGATATCTCCTCTGATACGAGTCCCGTTATCTAGCACCTTCTCCACACCACCAAGCAGCATGCAGAGGATAGCCTTTTTAATGTAGTGGTGCCCGTGTATGCTCGGAGCAAGAGACCTGGACAGCTGCTCAAACACATCCTACAGAAAGAAGGCACAGAATATAAAATGTAACGTGACCAATCATTTACAGGGCTTGTTAAGAGTCATATGCATGATATAACAATCCTAAAAAAAAGAAGAATTCATGAAGGCGAACACCACCAACTCATTGTTGTCTTTAGCTAGAATGACATTTTACAACAAACTGCATCTGTCGGATTTAGGGGCACTTTGTAATGACTTTTGGGACTGTTTATTAAGAAAAATTATATCCCAGATTGGGGAATCTAAGCTGACTGTCATGGGTTAACATTCTAGGTTAATTTCAAGTGACCTTCCAAAAATTTACCACACACACGAGTGGAAGAAACTTGTTTAAACCACTTCCCGACCGGCCGTTGTATATAAAAGGCTGGACGGTGGCAGTGCAGGGTCGGGTGGCCGTTTATAAACGGCCTCCCCACACCCTGCTTGTGCGTGCTCCCTGGGAGCGCGCAACACCGCAATGCGGTGCCCACTGTGTCCTCCGGACACAGTGAAGCACCGATCGGACGGGACCTCTGTACGAGGTCCCGATCATGTGATCACTGATTGGCCAATCAGTGATCACATGCAAAGTAGTAAGCAAGATGTCATGTGTGACATCATTGCTTACTACGTGTGAAATCTGTGAATGATCACAGAGGTCACATGGTACAAGGCTATTCACAACAGCATTGTACCATGTGAGAAGCTGTGACCAATCACAGCTCACTCAGTACTTCTCAATGACTGCAAGAATGCAGCCAGAGAGAAGGAGAAATGATTGCTTTTACATCCTATATGGGTGTAAAAGCAATCAGTGTAAAAAATAAAAAAATAAAAATCTTCATCACCCCCCACAAGTAGTACAGTGTCACCATGGCGGCACTGTACAGCTAGGGTGACAGTATGTAAAAATAAAAATATAAAATAAAAAAATGTAAAAAAAAAAAAAGTTTAAAAATTATAATTTTTGGTTAAACTAATTTGGATTTTTTTTTTATTTTTACTAAAAAGAGAATGGAATAAATTTTGGCCAAGATTTATGATGAAATATTTTTTATTTGCAAAATTTTTTATAAAAAAAAAAAAACGTTTCAAAATTTTTGGACTTTTTCATTTACATAGCAAAAAAAATAAAAATCCCAGCGGTGAATAAATACCACCAAAATAAAGCTTTATCTGTCTCAAAAAAATGGTAAAAAAATTCATTTGGGTAGTGTTGCATGACCGCGCAATTGTCATTCAAAGTGGGATAGCGCTAAAAGCTGAAAATTGCCCTGGTCAGGAAGGGGGTAAAAATGTCCGGACAGGAAGTGGTTAAGAGACAATGAGATAGATACCACTATTTGAATATCTACAGCTGAGCATATAGGAGGTCTAGAAGTGACAATAGGGTAACCAAACCTGATTGTCTGAGAGCTCTCACAAAACCTTGGAAAGTGTGGATTACCAAACAAGACTTCTTGAAATGTGACAATATGCTACTGAATACTGAGGTTTAACTCCAGACCAGTCTGTTTACCCTAATTCTTACACAATAGGGCAGGTAAATAAAAGGTTTTTTTTTTTCCCCTCATGTGAACCTTGCGTTAAACAAGAAGGTGAGAGCTGGGTCATTGAAAATATAAAGTTTGATACATAACAATGGAGACATTATCAAAAAGCATATTACCAACACCTTTTTATCAAGGGAAATCTATTCAATAAGGTTGGGTATTGCATCCCACTTAACTAAAGTTGCAAAAATGAAAAATAAGGTGATTTGTGAATAAGGTAGTGTCTATATTTCCAAAAGAAATCAGCTATTCCAATACAGTTTAAATATCAGGTAAATGAGAAACCAAATGTATTTACATCTTTCTATGGTCCTTATCCAAGAGTTAGTAGTGAAATCAACTATACTTGAATAGGACATATATTTGATACATAAAGACATTTTGTTTTCTATCAAAGGATGAGTTATCATTAAGACCACCAATTAATTTGTGATACCGGACTGTCCCCAGTGGACAGGTGAGGAACATCTCTAGTTACACACACTTCTCAACCGGCCAATCAACAAGCCTGTTGGGAGGTCCCTTGAAACAAAGGATTGTATGGTATAAAAATGCCATACACCTCAGAAAAAGAGGACACTACACTCAAGACTACACTTCACTTAACTGAACTTACATAAGGAAGCAAAGTCCTGTCTCTACCAAGATGACCAATTTCACAGACAGTGCAGAACAAAGCATGATAGGTCAGTAATGGGGAAAATTTAAAAAAAAAAAAAAAAAAACCACCACAAGATCAGCTACAGGGAGACCACAGAAGACACTGATAACTAATCTTTTGCCCTCCGCATGCACAAAGTCTACTATGCGTATACTGATGTTGAAATCATATAAATAAAATAACACAACTGCTTAGTTTTCACAGAACACCTGTACTAATGTTACAAAACCATCTATCACAAGTACCTTAGAGTGAGTTTTACTGAATTTCTTGATTTTAGCCAAGTCATCTGCTGAAAAGACTGGTGACACTTCCTTGCTCATCTGAACCACATTGCAAGCTATCAAAATTGTCCTACAAAGAAAAATAGGTAATTAGAAAAAAAAAAAGTAGAATCCCCCATTAGCACAATAGTTAAATCATCAATGTTGCTTTAATTGACTGGATAACCTTCCAACCGGGCGCAAGAACCCAACCCATCAAAGCATAAAGACACCACCCATTACCTGAAAGAGCCGGACGTGTAGCCATTTTGTTTGGAAGGCAGACAGCGATAGGTTCCAATAATCTGCACGCGGTCCCCGGGTTTCACCTTATCGACAAGGTCATCATCTAAAATGATGTCCACTGATCGAGGCAACTGACCAGCGGGGGCCTTTTCTGGCATTTCCTGGATGGTGATGGTTTGATGATCTTTGTACAGGGAAAGCCCAAATTCTGTCTCCAGCGGATTGTTATCCTCATCCTGCAATCAGAAGTAGTAAATCAGAAAACTATTGCACTTAATAAAAAAGTCAGACCTCCAGATGCTATTATGCTGATCTACTCCTTCACAGGTTAGAAGCCCTCTTTAAACAGAAATCAGGCTTTAAAGTGGAGTTGCAGTTGAATTAAAAAAAAAAAAAAAAAAATACATAAACGTCAGCAGCTACAAAAACTGTAGCTGCTGACTTTTAAAATACAAACACTTACCTGTCCCTCAGTCAGGCAGTGTCCTCCCCATGGCTGGTTTCCCCGGCTGTCTTCTCTCCCCGGCATCCCTAGTGTGGGTACCCGGCTGTGACAACTTGCAGCTTCACAACTGGGTCCCTACTGCACATAAGCGAGTAGCGCTGCGCTTTGTGAATGGTCCCATATTCTTCCCAGTATATTACGGATTGGGAGGGGGCAGGAGAACTTCCGCTTCTATTCACCTTGGGCGATCACACAGAAAGTGGGAGGGGGTACCTGTCAAATTAGGGTACTTGCTCCAAAAAAGATACCAATGCTTAATGGGGAGCGAGAGACAAAGCATTAAAGTGAAACTTCCCCTTTTGGGTGGAGCTCCGCTTTAAATACAAGTAAAACATTTCACTAGACATGGCAACACAGTGGTTGAGTGGTTTAACACATCTGACTTGCAGCACTGGGGATCTTGGTTCAGAAGCCAGCATTATGTTTCTGTGTGTTTCCTCCCACACTCCAAAGACATGATGGTAGGTTATTGGCTCCTGTCTAAACTGGCTGGAGCATATGTATGCATGCGAGATAGGGACCTTAGATTGTTAAAGTGGAACTTTACTCACAGTAACTAGATAAAAAGTAATGTTTTTTTTTTAGCAAGGAACATACATTCTACATAGTACAGACAAAACCTTTTTTCTTTATTTTGGATAGAGTAAGGGAGATTACCCTGTTAGATTTGTTTTTTTTGCCATATGTGTCCATTGGGGACATTTAACTTTGCTTCCTGTCCCATAACCAAAACAGGAAGTGAGGAAATCCCTTGGGGACTCCAAGGTCACCAAAACTAGTGTCTCCATTGGAACATGTGCACTCTATTACTGTTCTGGGGTTTGGGTTATTTCACTTTCAATAAAAATGGTAAACAGGACAAATAGAGAGGGGAAATCTCCCTAACAGGGACGCAGACACCAATAAAAACCTAATATAATGTGTTCTAATCCTTCTCCACTCTGCCCAAAACTAAAAAGTTTTGCCTTTAATATGCTTCCAAAATTAGTGTGTGTTATAAATTTTCTCCAGCATTGTTCCCATTTCTTCTTGCTGAAGGCTGCCCATAGCAGCAGTAAAAAACTTAAGGCTGTCAGCAGATCAGTCATTTTCAGCACAGTGCCATAAAAGAGAGCAACTGAGCATGTGCAGAGCAGGGTGAGACAGTATTACTGGATTTTAAACAGTATAGGCACTTATTTTTAATGTGTTACATAGTGGTACCTGTAAAAGGGGCCAGCATGAAGTGATCTAGCAGGATTTTGTTTTCTGACTAAAGCTCCACTTTACAGGCAGGGAGTGTGAATGTACATTATCTAAAGCCCTGCAGAAAGCTGTTGAGACTACATAAATGCTTTCAATAGACACACCCAGGCTTCAGTTCCTAAGACAACTTACCTTAGTGGGATATACAGAGCTGGAGGGAAAGGCGTCCAGGCTGGTCATATCTGTATACTTGCGTTCGATGGTCTTCTTTGTGGCCGGACAGTAGTGAACACTGCGGACCACTTTAGGGCGTACCAAAGAACCTAAACAGACAAATGTTAGTACAGGTGGTGTCAGACATTAGTGATTATACATACTATACTGTATTGTACTTCCGCACCAAGTGGAATCTGGTGGGGTAGATAACTACATGCTTTCTTGTATGTGAGATTACTGCAATGACGTTTGGTCATCGTAGTTCCTACCCACCTTAGGGTCTCACACCTTACACTGTAGCAGGAATGCCTTCTACTCTCTTCTGGCAGAAAAAAAGAAACCAACTGCTGCAGAAAGCAATTCTCCAAAATCTACCCAACTGCTTTGCATAAAGGGGCTGAGCCTGAGAAGGTCTTGGATCTCAGATTATGCAGCCGAGGAGGGGGGCCCTAAACCTAAACCTCACCCAACAGCAGGTCGAGTCTGGGGAGCTGAAAGTAGACAGAAGTATGCAGAAATATGGACACAAGTATAAGAGTGCTTGCCTCCCTCTTTCAGAGTTCCTGCATAACATTTGCACCTGGTGGAACAAATACTGATTGGACGCTCTGAATATGCCTTGAGACAGCAGAAAAGGGAAAACAGCACAAGAAGCCAATCAAATTGCAGTACTCGTGCGAAGAAGGAACATACTGATGAGAGGCTGAGTGACAGATGAGTTTAAACCACAGGTTGAAAACAAGGACAAGATCTACTGTGCTACTTGGGGGCAGTGAACAAAAAAAATGTCTCCCAGCTGATTCTACTGTCTATAGGGATCTATCATTCTCAGAAATGCATGGATAAAAATACACATTTTTGAGAGGCAAAACAACTCCCGTGTATGTATGCAACTATTTCATGGAATTCAGCTTGGTAAAAAAAAAAAAAAAAAAAAAGTTTACTTTGTACAAGTATAAAACTGTATACTCACACTTGGTAACAATACCCTCCACACAGACAACAGAGCCCAGAAACCGTGAGGTGAGGGTGCGTGGGGTAACATGTTTTGAACCAAAGCTGCCTTCTAGACCGATGTAGAAATCTTCATACTGCTTGGCGTACGTCGCATCGATAGAAGCAACAAAATCTTTCAGAGCCCGCTGGAAGGCAATCAGCCCCTCAAAGGCCTGATTCATTAACCTAGGGGAGAAGTCAGAATGTTAGAAACACATAAGACACAGCTACAAAGACACTCACATTTCATGCAACATTTTATATGAAAACAAGGAAAATTGTGTTTTTATAATTATATCACTTAGTCGGGGATGTTGACTTTATATCGGCCAACGCCCAGGACATGTAGTTCCGGGCACCAGGCAGATTTTTTTTTTTTTTTTTTTTAACTCTGCCCATAGCAGGGCTCACCTGTCAGGTGAAAACATTTGGGCGGCCGCACTGCTGTCCAGTTACTTTCACACAGCCTAGTGCCAGCCTCCGCCCTCCCCCGTGTGAACATCCCCCCATGTGATGTCTCCCGGGCTCTGCTTGCCCTTCAGCAATGGGACCGGTTCACCGCCATCGGTTAGAGGGGAGGGAGGAGACACGTCTGCTCCCCTTCTTGTCCTGACCTGGAAGTGATGTTATGATTAGTGGTGCACCAAAATGAAAATTCTGGTGCCGAAACCAATAACGAAAATTCAGAATGCATGTGGCCGAAAACCGAAACGTCTGTGTATGTGGGGGTGGGAGGTCCAATTTTTTATTTGTATTTTTTTCTACTTTCGTGTATATGTTTTTTTTAACTTATGATTTTTTGCTATCGCATAGGAGACCAATAGTTCCCTATGTGATAGCAGGAGTGACAGGCCATCTTTGTAGGGGGGAGGGGCAGTGTGTACAAGGAAGGGGCAGGAGAGGAGCAGTGTATACAGTGAGGGAGCCGTGTATACAGAAAGGCTCCTTCACTGGCTGTCACTATATGTCAGTGCCGGTTTTTAAATGCAATTGCCGGCTTTTTTTTTTCACTATATCGCAGAAGAAAACTTTCTTTTAGCTCTGGGAAAGAAACTAAAAAGAAACTTTGTTTCTTTCAGCTAGGGGAAAGTGACAGGTCATTCTCTGAGCTATAGTGAAAAGAGAAAAAAAAAAAAAAAAAAAAAGCTGGTAATTACATTAAAAAAACCAGCAGTGACATATAGTGACAGCCAGTCACCGTACACACTGCTCCTCTCCTACCTTTCTCCGGCAAAACGCTGATAGGGTTATTTTCGGCCAATATGTTTTGGTGCATCCCTAGTTATGACGTCACGTCCGGGTCCCCGTTGACAGATTTCCCAACCATAGAGGACAGGAAAGAATGTAATGCGGTGCGATGTGCACTGCATTACATTCAGTGGAGTACAAGGGAGACATCCAGGGTCTTTTAGACCTTGGATGTCTCAAAGAAAACCAGTCCTCAAAAAAAAAAAAAAAAATTTAAAAAAAAAAGTGCATATTGCACCTGATGGTGGACATTAAGGACATTCAACTTAAGAAGTGAAAATTATCTCATACCCAAATCAATGTGCAAACTGAATAATCAATATAAATAAAATAACTAGTGCAATATCCCATATATGAATAATACGTCCCTGGTGGTATAGTGATAAACAACTAATACTTTTTAAACTGTGCAAAGTGATACATATAAACAGAAATCATTAAATAAAATATAAATACAAAAATCAATTGTGATGCCACACTGTGCAAAATCATAAAAGTGTTCAAATGACATCACTCCATGCTGCAATGTGCTCTTCGTGAAAAAATCTTGGACGTGACTCCCCTCAATGATAGCCAAAATGCCCCCTCACCTTCCACATTCGACCCTTGCGGGTCACAAAGCTTTATTTATATATATATATATATATATATATATATATATATATATATATATATATATATATATATATATATCTCTCTATCTATCTATCTATCTATCTCTGTCAGGTGTTTTTCTCCTCCACTGCCTCCACCGACCCAATCAAGATCCTCCTCCAGACACTGGGTTCCACTCAAATAACTCCCCTCACAATACGGACTCAGACACAGGGCGCATATGCAAGAAAAAACAGACCTCCATAGTGCAACACTGTTTTAATGCACTCAGAGATATGTATAGAAAATGTACTCACATCTCCACTAACAGAGAGAATCAGTTCCCCATGTGCTATGGGTATATTCAGGTGTACAAAGATGGCGTCCGAACCCGGAACCACGTCACCCCTATGACCGGAAATACGTCGACGCGTTGCGCCACGATCACGTGGCTTCTTCAGGATCCTGAAGAAGCCACGTGATCGCAACGCGTCGACGTATTTCCGGTCATAGGGGTGACGTACTTCCGGTTCCGGGTTCGGACGCCATCTTTGTACACCTGAATATACCCATAGCACATGGGGAACTGCTTCTCTCTGTTAGTGGAGATGTGAGTACATTTTCTATACATATCTCTGAGTGCATTAAAACAGTGTTGCACTATGGAGGTCTGTTTTTTCTTGCATATGCGCCCTGTGTCTGAGTCCGTATTGTGAGGGGAGTTATTTGAGTGGAACCCAGTGTCTGGAGGAGGATCTTGATTGGGTCGGTGGAGGCAGTGGAGGAGAAAAACACCTGGCAGAGATATATTATACATATATATATATATATATAAAAGCTTTGTGACCCGCAAGGGTCGAATGTGGAAGGTGAGGGGGCATTTTGGCTATCATTGAGGGGAGTCACGTCCAAGATTTTTTCACGAAGAGCACATTGCAGCATGGAGTGATGTCATTTGAACACTTTTATGATTTTGCACAGTGTGGCATCACAATTGATTTTTGTATTTATATTTTATTTAATGATTTCTGTTTATATGTATCACTTTGCACAGTTTAAAAAGTATTAGTTGTTTATCACTATACCACCAGGGACGTATTATTCATATATGGGATATTGCACTAGTTATTTTATTTATATTGATTATTCAGTTTGCACATTGATTTGGGTATGAGATAATTTTCACTTCTTAAGTTGAGCGCTTCACCATATTATATAATTTTGTTTACACATATCTTGCGGTATAGAGAATAGGTGGTAGCAGCTAACTCTTTGGTCACTAGGTTCTGTGGAGCGCAGGAGGATCTCTGCAAATTCATTAAGGACATCGTTTATTTGGATTTAATTATTATTATGCACACACTGTTTGTGAATCAAGTTGCACAATATGGCTACAATATGGATAACGAAAGTGGCTACTTTGCTGATCCATTTTATATGGTATTATTTTAACACTTTTTTAATTTTAGGTAGTTTAATACTTGAGACTTTAAGCACGGTCTTAAATATTTGTTTCATGACACAGATTGTACAGAAAAAAACTGACAGGGGTTATAACCCTCCCTTATGCTATCCACAATGAGAAAAAAAGGTTTTGCCTTCAGCTCTACTTTAAGGATGAACTCCAGGCTTGGCATTTAAACCAGACTTGCAATGAAAAGTGATGCTTATTCACTTTACGCTCCCCAAAATGTGACATTTTTATGGGGAGCAGGTACCTGCAAGACTGACCCACTTCCACAATTCTCATCTAGGCAGCAATGATGTACACTTAGGCATGCCTTCTGCCCACATAACACGCCCCAGGAGAATGCAGTGATCCCGTGCATTTACATGGGCAGCTTTCTGTGATTTCTTAGGAAGCCACAGCTGGCTGCCACAATGAAAGAAAAAAAAAATGAAGTTTGTTTTTAAATTGTATCTGCTTGCCGAGTGCAACAGATACAAATTCGTTGGGTTTCTGTAAAGATCATCGTGTAACTTCTTGGTCAAATCTCAAGTACAGTTGTCAGGCGTGACCAGTACACAGAACTACAGAACACCTCATATTGTAAGTATTCAGAGAGGGGAAGGTGTTCTAGATTTTTTTTTCTTTAACACTTTCTATACTAGGGTGACAACATATCTTCCACAGATACAGTACAGGGAGGGTTGTCATACTAAGAAAGGAGACATGTCAATGGCTGGATCACAAGATGAAAGAGGAACAAAGCCTGGAGAAAAAACTAAAAAAACCTAATGCAGCCACCAAATCTGATCATGATAAGCTGCAATGTGTTACATTATTTCTCTTATGTTTACGGTACACCTCATTTTTCAGCTGCAACTTAATCTCTCCTTAAAGCGGAGTTCCACTCACTCTGTAAAAAAAAAAAAAAAAAGAAGTCAGCAGCTACAAAAACTGTAGCTGCTGACTTTTAAAAAACAGCCACTTACCTATCCCACGATCCCGCGTTGCCCCCGCCGCAGCCCGTTGCACCAGCCATCCTGTATTCCAGGCGCTGGCATCTTCAGTGTGGGCACCCGGCTGTGACAGCTTGCAGCTTCACAGCTGGGTGCCCACTGCGCATGCGGAAGTAGCGCTGCACTTCCTGAATGGCCCCCGTCTTCTGGGACCTGTCACGTGTCCTACAAGACTACGGGGAGGGAGGGGAGGACGACAACTTCCGTTTCCGATTGCCTAGGCGATCGCAGCGGAAGTGGGAGCGGATACCTGTCAAATTCGGGTACCCGTTACGTTCCCCCCCGCAGGTGCTAATCCTTAATGGGGAGCGTGGGACCAATCTTTAAAGCGGAACTTCCCCTTCTGGGTGGAACTCCGCTTTAAACAGATCAAAATTTACATAGAAATCAAGTCTGCACAATGATTGCTGTCCCTCCACAGACCACATGTCCCAGCGTACCAGAGAAGCCCCCCGATTACCATAGAGGGGTGCACAATTTCCAGGCGGTACTCACTGACTGGCTCTCTTCTCATTCTTCCGGCGGAGATCGTTAATATTGACGAGGAGACGACACTGGTTATCGCTGATCATGTCTCGGACTTTGCTCTGGTAAATCCCCTGATCTTCCTGAGTAGGAGGGAAAATAAATTGTAACATTTAATATCCTTTACTCAATGTAATCAAGTATGGATCACACCACACATTTACTGCAACAAATATTTCTCAGAACGATCCTTTTAAAGACATTGTTGCTTTGAGGGATGGTATGAAAGAATTGGGATATTTCAGACGTGGCCACATCAGTCCAGCTTGGATATTTCAGACGTGGCCACATCAGTCCAGCTTGGATATTTCAGACGTGGCCACATCAGTCCAGCTTGGATATTTCAGACGTGGCCACATCAGTCCAGCTTGGATATTTCAGACGTGGCCACATCAGTCCAGCTTGGATATTTCAGACGTGGCCACATCAGTCCAGCTTGGCAGACGTGGCCACATCAGTCCAGCTTGGATATTTCAGACGTGGCCACATCAGTCCAGCTTGGATATTTCAGACGTGGCCACATCAGTCCAGCTTGGATATTTCAGACGTGGCCACATCAGTCCAGCTTGGATATTTCAGACGTGGCCACATCAGTCCAGCTTGGATATTTCAGACGTGGCCACATCAGTCCAGCTTGGATATTTCAGACATCAGCCACTTGGATCAGACATGGCCACATCAGTCCAGCTTGGATATTTCAGACATGGCCACATCAGTCCAGCTTGGATATTTCAGACATGGCCACATCAGTCCAGCTTGGATATTTCAGACATGGCCACATCAGTCCAGCTTGGATATTTCAGACATGGCCACATCAGTCCAGCTTGGACATGGCCACATCAGTCAGCTTGGATATTTCAGACATGGCCACATCAGTCCAGCTTGGATATTTCAGACATGGCCACATCAGTCCAGCTTGGATATTTCAGACATGGCCACATCAGTCCAGCTTGGATATTTTAGACATGGCCACATCAGTCCAGCTTGGATATTTTAGACATGGCCACATCAGTCCAGCTTGGATATTTTAGACATGGCCACATCAGTCCAGCTTGGATAACTATGTGTATACAATACCTGGCCGATGCCCCTGGAAGCTGGAAATCACTGAAGTAGACATCAATATGCCAGTAATCTCCACTTCCTCGCAGGTCCTGTGCCGCGCAGCTGGTTGGCCACATGGCATAGGCACCATTAAGAATGCTGTGCGTTCTCAATAAATCCAAAGTGTTCTCTGATTGGATGAGAAGGAGAGGTGGACAGTGACATCATGCTGTCCATTTCATCCAATCAGAGAACGCTTTGCATTCATTCAGAAAATGTAAAGCAATCTCTGAATGGCCCACATGCCAAATGGCCAACTTCTTGTGATCATAACGCAGCAAGCCAGCCACTTGGCAAGGGATTTGGCAGCAAGTGGAGATCAGTGTTGTCTGTTAGGGCTAGTTCACACTAAATGCAGTTCGGTGTGCTTTTTTTCTGTGTCAAAAATGCATGCACAGTGTTTTCCATGTGTTCCAATGGCCCTGGTTCACACTAGTGCAGTGAGTTCCAAGTGCAGAAAAAAAAAAAAGTAGAAAATGCTGCATTTTTTCTGCACGGAGCCATACCGGAACATGGCAAATTGCATCAAAACTGCATGTGGTGTGAACTGTAAACAAAATCTGAAATGCATCCAGAGTGCATAGTTTGTAGTGTGAAGTTATATGGGTTCACGCTGGATCAATGCAAGTACATATAAGGTATCCATATCTGGGATTCATTGCTAAAATCAGGTTTGTGGTTTGGATTAAAAATCTCCTCTAACATCTTCTGGACCTCCCATCACAATTTTCCTGCAGCAGGCCAGTCCTGCTGCGCAGGATCATGTATGAATGCATGTGATCTAGCATTTCCAAATAGGGGTCCCGCCCATATCCGCCGCCAGACTTGTGCTGCCATTCGGTATAGTACACGTCTGTCAGCAGGCCCCGGCCAATGATTTATGACTGGGACCTGCTGATAGCCAATGACAGTGCAGAGCCCTGTGTTGACAGACAAAAGAGCTCTGTACAGACAGCAGAGATGTAGCTGGCTGGTTATTTTTCTCTCTGCAAAGCAGCAAGATAAAAAAAACAGTCACATTGCTTGGCAAAAGCAGCACATATTACACGTGTTATGCAGTTAAAGTGTTACCAAACCCACACAACAGCAAAATCAGTCTGTATATGCAGTAAAGTATGCTGGTCGTACTCACTGTGGAACCCAAGGGGTTAATCCTCCACTGTGAGTAAAAAGGCGGTTTGATCCGGTCTTCTCTGATCCTCCCCTTCTACTGTCCCCAATCCATCTGCTGATAGTACAGAGCTCTAGGAGTCACTCTGCACATGCTCAGTTTGGTGTGTATTGCTAGTTTTTGTTTTTTGGGAGAGTGCATGTGATCAAAACAGGGCCAATCAGCACTGTCCAGACAGAGGGTCAGGGGGGTTATGCAGCCTCATAGGGGAAAATGAAAACTCCTCCTGCAAGCTTTAACCAGTGCTCTGCTGGACACTGATGGAAGTGATACGTCTGCCATATACTGCTGATGAGAAAAGGTATTTAGCACTTTATATTTACTAAAATAATAGCATTTCCATCTTCTGTGTACTGTGGGAGACAAGATATAGCAAATGCAGGGTCCTGGGTTTAGTAACACTTTAACCCTTTGTCAGTCCCTAGATGTTCACCCCTTCCCAGCTAGTGTCATTAGTACAGTGAGTGTACATTATCAGCACTGATCACTGTATTATTGTCACTGGGGATGTCAGTGTAATTTAGTCAGTTCTCACCAAGCATCAGGTAGTGTCAGATTGCCCACCGCACTATCACAGTCCCACTATAAGTTGCTGATCACTGCCATTACTAGTATAAAAATGCAATATATACACAATAGTTTGTAGATGTTATGACTTTCAGACAAACCAATTAATATATGCTTATTGGGAATTTTTTTTATTACGAAAGACATGTAGCAGAATACATTTTGGCCTAAATGTATGAAGAAATGTGTTTTCTTCCAATATTTTAGATCTCTTTCCCATTTATTTAAAGTGCTTCTCAAGGCTTTTTACATGGTGGTAACCAAAGAATATTGTACCGAAAACAACTCACTGAGGGATTACCACATCCAGCTGGTTCACATTCATTGCTGTTGGCAGATCTACAGGAAATTCTACAGGCTGTAGCTGGTATGAGCAGCTTTAGATCTACCAACCAAGCATACCAATGGCTGACATATCCCATGTATCAGACTGGAGCCCACACTGCAACACTAACTACAATTTCCTTCAGGGCTTGTTTACCCCAGATGGACACAGTAGGAACGCAGAAGCAAGACAATCGAATGCATTTCAATGAGCCTCGTTTACACCATTGTGGTTCTTTCATGTGTGTTTAAGCACAGCATGCTGCATTGTTTTTTATATGGAAACCCTCACAAACACATGCAACTCAGTAATGCACATGCAGAACTACACACTGAATGCAGGGACTATGGTGTAAACAAGCCAGGGTGGATAAAAATCAATGATATAAAAAAAAAAAAATCAGATTTTCTTTTTTTATTTAAATCGGATTTATTTTAAATAAAATGCTTTTTGAGGAAAATATATTACCATCCAAAGGTTGTTCCATCATGAAATAAAGATTAGTTTTTTATTTATGTAGAATAAGGCTGTATATGTTTAATTGTTTTTGGTAAATAAATCCCATGAATCCATTCACAATGTCATGCTCTTCCAGAGGTTTTTGTAAGATTATTGGGCAGTTTCTCTGCCTACAAGATATTATCACAGATGTTGGTTTACTTTTGCAGTTCTCAAAACTGAATTTGACTCAGAGGAGATCACATGCCTCTTCTTCACAGCAAAAATGTTATAACATGAACAGAGTTAAGAAAAAGACCTTAATCCTAACTTCTACAAACCTATGAATACAGAATCAACCCCTTCAGTGCTAAGTTTCAAGAAGTTCGTGAATAGAATAGAAACAATATTTTTCTGATTGTTTGGAGTGGAACAGATCTGCACAAGAAGAAAGTGAAACTAAGTGTGAGGAGGAAGGGGCTGACAGTCTAAGTTTCTTAATATATATATATTTTGTTTAGCCAAATTAGTTAACAAACATGGATGTTTAAGCAAATCACATATGCTGGAATGTTATTGTTTCAGATGAATAAATCTATTTAAATTGTTATTATTAAGGTAATGATTATTTTTCTCCTTCCTAAGTACAACAGAAAAGTTGTCCAAATATGAATGATTAACCCATTAAACTGGGGATAAAAAACGAATATGAAAAGTTGTTATTCTAAAAATCTTCATCTACTTGTATATTAAAGTTATACCAGCAAGAATTAGTCTTCATGTAGAAAACTAGGATTTAAATCAAGCCTTACTGACTAGTGATTTAAATCAAATCCACCCTGAAACAAGCCCCCACAATGACAACACGATGCACAATCTGACTATACACCCCCCCCCCCCCCATAAAACAGCCACATGCTGTACAATCTGTGCAATCTAAGGCTGGCCATATTTTACTAAATGTTTTTCATCCAAAAAACAAATTGTGCAGATTGCACCATCCACACGGTGTTGATAGGGGAATCCTTCCCACTGCAGTATTGTGCTCTGATAGCAGGGAAGCCTTCCCTGCCATCAGTATACACTGATCAGTGTTTCTGGCTATAGCTGGCAGCACTGATTGCTCAAGAAAAGCCAACACACTGGTTGTGCACAAATCAATCGATAGATTTAATTCTGTACAACCAGCTAGCCCATACAAACATTGACATTTCAGGTACTTGTATAGCGCCGTCAATTTACATGTATATAGTACATTCACATCAGTCCCTAACCCTCAAGGGGTGTACAATCTAAGGTCCCCAACTTACATTCATACATACATACTAGGGACAATTTAGACAGGAGCCAATTCACCTACCAGCATGTCTTTGGAGTGTGGGAGGAAACCGGAGTACCCAGAGGAAACCCACAGTCACAGGGAGAACATGCAAACTCCAGGCAGGTGGTACTGTGGTTGAGATTCGAACCAACAACCCTAGTACTGCCAGGCGGAAGTGCTAACCATTGCGCCAGTCCCTGCTGAGCGACTTGAATTTTGATCCATGCATGTCTGGTTTAAGGCCTGGTTCACACCAATGCGTTTGTCGGTGCATTTTTACAGAAACGCACTACAGTCCATTAACATGGATTCCTATGGGACACGTTCACATCTCTGCTTTTTTTTCAGTCATTGCATTTCTAGAATCAGGGACTTTTTAAATGCAAAACTGCAGGTTTTCTGTTCAATGGAAGTCAATGGAGATGCTGCAGAAAACGCATGTAGTGCGTTTTCTATGCATTTTGCTGTTTTATTCTGCGCAAAAATACAAATCGCAAAACGCATCAAAAACACTGCAAAAAGCACTGCAGAAACAGATCAAATTCAAACTTCTATGAAATCTAATTCAAGGCAACAAGGCATCACACAATCCGATCGTGCAATCCTCTCCATGACGGCCATAATCAGTCCAATCTGATCGTGCAATCCTCTCCATGACGGCCATAATCGGTCCAATCTGATCATGCAATCCTCTCCATGACGGCCATAATCGGTCCAATCTGATCGTGCAATCCTCTCCATGACGGCCATAATCGGTCCAATCCAATCCTCTCCATGACGGCCATAATCGGTCCAATCCTCTCCAAGACTGCCACATGCCATACAATCTGACGGTACAACCTCCTCTATGACAGTCACAATCGGTCACAGTCAGATTGTCCAATCTCCCCTGCGACGGTCCCAGTCGGTCCAATCTCCCCTGCGACAGTCCAATCTCCCCTGAATCTCCCCCTGCGACGGTCCCAGTCGGTCCCAATCCCCCTGCGACGGTCCCAGTCGGTCCAATCTCCCCTCCCCCAGTCGCGCGACGGGTCCCAGTCGGTCCAATCTCCCCTGCGACGGTCCCAGTCGGTCCCTCCCCTGCGACGGTCCCAGTCGGTCCAATCTCCCCTGCGACGGTCCCAGTCGGTCCAATCTCCCCTGCGACGGTCCCAGTCGGTCCAATCTCCCCTGCGACGGTCCCAGTCGGTCCAATCTCCCCTGCGACGGTCCCAGTCGGTCCAATCTCCCCTGCGACGGTCCCAGTCGGTCCAATCTCCCCTGCGACGGTCCCAGTCGGTCCAATCTCCCCTGCGACGGTCCCAGTCGGTCCAATCTCCCCTGCGACGGTCCCAGTCGGTCCAATCTCCCCTGCGACGGTCCCAGTCGGTCCAAACAGCTCTAAGATGGTCACACGCTGTCCAATCTGAATCCTCTAACATGGTCACACGCTGTCCAATCTGAGGGTGCAATCCTCTCTAACATGGTCACACGCTGTCCAATCTGAGGGTGCAATCCACTCTAAAATGGTCACACGCTGTCCAATCTGAGGGTGCAACCCTCTCTAACATGGTCACACACTGTACAATCTGAGGGTGCAATCTTCCCGAAGATGGACACACACTGTCCAATCTGAGGGTGCAATCAGCTCCAAGATGGTCACACACTGTCCAATCTGAGGGTGTAATCTTCTCTAAGATGGTCACACGCTGTCCAATCTGAGGGTGTAATCTTCTCTAAGATGGTCACACACTGTCCAATCTCCTTCTCTAAGATGGTCACACGCTGTCACAATCTTCTCTAAATGGTCAGACACTGTCCAATCGCTCCTTCAAGGCCACACACAATACATACAATTTGATCATGCAATCCGATTGTACGACTTCCTTTTACACCAAAACTATGTGATATAAGGACAAACCTAAACAATCCATTCAATATCAAACCAGACAGCCCCTGGGCACTACATAGCTGATGGAAGATCTAAAGGAGATTGTACAGATTGTATCGTGTATGGTCAGCCTTAGAGGCACAATGTCGAATCTGAAAGCAGCCATACACGATACAATCTGATTACATGATCTTTTAGCATTTCCAATAGTAATATACAAGAGGAAAGATGCAAAGCATCAATTCACATGGCATTCGGACAGGTCCTCGTACAAGGACTGGGTCTTAACAGAGCCGTCCCCGGCTCATACATCACCTCATCGTCCAGGAAGTCCAGATACTCCCGCTGTGCCTCCCTGATCTCTTGATCTTCCACCTCTGCGATCCCCGGGGCGGCCATGTCTTCCTCTGACTCTGGAGCTCTATGCGGAAAATACTCTCCACGTTCCTTCTCTCACCACCTCACTGGCGCGAAAACTCTACCTTTCCCGCCAAATCAGCTCCCTTACTAAACTTCCGATTGGACGGCGTTCTGGCGCGAACGGCCCGCAGCCCAATCAGCTACTAGAACGCAAAGAAGGGCGTGATTATGAGGCTTCAGGGGCGGGGGAGATCTGAAAGTTTTTTTCCAAGAGGCGTGGCTTTGCAAGAACAAGCTGTTAGAGAAGGGAGGGGATTCAGGCGCCCTGGGGAAGGGGCTGAGCCTTGGGGCGGGAAAGAGCAGTGGGCGTCGAAAAAGAAAGCGTGTAGCGAGCTGGCGGAAGAGAAGCCACGCAAACGTATAGTTGTGCGTCAATTCTAAAGGTGGCCATGTTTGTTAAGGGCAGATTAGTGTTTCTGCTATGAGGACTAGTTGGGGCAATAGTTGTCACATTGGTCTGCTTTGAAAAGCAGTGGGGACAGATTTGATTAGGGAAACAAAATAAATTCCAGTCAAACTGTGACAAATACTTGGCTGTCATGAATTACATTGAAAGGCCTGATTCACGCCTTTGCTTTTTTTGGTGCTTTTGGAAAAATGCACTAAAATCCATTTAACCTGGTTTCCTATGGGACACGGTCACATCTATGCTTTTTTTCAGCCACCATGTTTTTAGAAAGGGTCAGGGGCTTATTTAACCTCTTCCATACCGGCACTTTTACCCCCTTCCTGTCCAGGCCATTTTTCAGGTTTCAGCGCTCTCACACTTTGAATGACAATTGCGCGGTCATACAACACTGTACCCAAACTAAAATTTTATCATTTTCTTCATACAACTAGAGCTTTCTTTTGGTGGTATTTAACCACCTTCTGTCAGCCCTATAATACAACGGGCGCAAGGTGGTTCTTTCGTTCTAATAGGACGTTATATGAAGTCCTACCATTCTCCCTGCGCATGCGCGACTCAGGGAGCGTGGCGATCGCCGGTGCACCGTGTCCCCTGAACACAGCGGATCACGGAAAGAGCCGAAGATGTCGGCTCGGTCATGTGATCAGCTGTGTCCAATCACAGCTGATCACATGTAAACACGGAAATGCTGGTTATCGGCATTTCTCTCCTCTCGAGCTGTCACGCTGACAGCTCGAGAAGAGAAGAGAGCCGGTAATCGGCTTTCCACGGAGGGTACATGTACACTGATCATCAGGCCACTGATGATCAGTGTGCCCTGATGATCAGTGTGGCCCCAGACGTGCCACCTGTCAGTGCCACATCAATGCCATATATCAGTGCATACCAGTGCACATCAATGCCACATATCAGTGCCCATCTGAGCTGCCTTTCAATGTCACTCATCAGTGCCAGTCAGTGCCACCTATCAATGCCAATCAGTGCCACCTATCAGTGCCAGTCAGTGTCGCCTATCAGTGCCAGTCAGTGCCGCCTATCAGTGCCAGTCAGTGCTGCCTAACAGTGCCAGTTAGTGTCGCCTATCAGTGCCAGTCAGTGCTGCCTAACAGTGCCAGTCAGTGCCGCCTATCAGTGCCAGTCAGTGCTGCCTAACAGTGCCAGTCAGTGCCGCCTATCAGTGCCAGTTAGTGCCGCCTATCAGTGCCAGTCAGTGCTGCCTATCAGTGCCGCCTATCAGTGCCATATATCAGTGTCATGTATCAGTGTCATGTATGAGTGCTGCCTTTCAGTGCCCATCAGTGATGCCTGTCAATGCCCATCAGTGCAATCTACCAGTACCTCCTCATCAGTGCCACCTATCAGTGTCCATCACTGCAGCGTATCAGTGCCCATCACTGCAGCCTCCTTAGCGCACATCAGTGAAGGAGAAAAATCACTTATTTACAAAATTGTATAACAAAAACTAAGAAAAAACGTATTTTTCCAAAATTTTCAGTGGTTTTTGATTTGTTTAAGAAAAATCCCAGAGGTGATTAAATACCACCAAAATAAAGCTCTATCTGTCACAAAAAAAATGATAAAAATGTCATATGGGTACAATGTTGCATGACCGCGCAATTGTCATTCAAATTGCAACAGCGCTGAAATCTGGAAATTGGCCTGGGCAGGAAGGGGGTATAAGTGCCCAGTAGGCTAGTGGTTAACCATTAGCCGCCCGGCCAATGGCCGTTTGGCAGCTTCAAATGTGCTGCTGTATTCCGGGTGCACGCCATTTGGCGTGCTCCCGCACATGCGCAGTTTGCGCTAATGCAGAGCGGCGCAGCAGCGCGATCTGTCACCGGCCGTGCACCATGGACACGGCCGTTGATAGATCCGAGTACCGGCTCCCGTTGCTGGTACCATGTGACCTGCTGTGACCAATCACAGCAGGTCACATGACAGTTGTATACAATGGATGGCTTCATTCATGATGCCATCCTTGTATACTAGTGCCTAGCTGTGAATGGTCACAGCTAATCACATGCACATGTCATGTGATTAGTTGTGACCAAATCACAGCTAAGCACAAAAAAAAAAAAAAAGCTGAATGAATCGATTTCATTCAGGTAAATGCTTGCTTATAGCAAAGTAATTCTTTGCTATAAGCAAATTGTGTAAAAAAAAAAAAAAAAATACTGATCACTTCCCCAAAGTAGTACAATGTTACTATGGTAACATTGTACTACTTTGGTCATAGTAAAATATGAAAAAAAAAATCTTTAAAAAAAATGTAATAAAAAATTAAATATAATAAAAAAATTAAAAAAAAAAAAAATATTTTTTTTTTTTCATACTGTCACCAGTCAGTGTCCCTGTTCACCGCCATGCCAGTTATATGATGACGCTGTACTGCACTGGTGACAGTATGTAAAAAAAAATAGTGAAAATAATTTTTTTAATTTTTTCATTTTCCGAAAAATTATGAGAAAAAAATACAACTTCAAAAAACTCGCCATTCCTCTTATGAAGTACGTCGGACTGTCTACTCTGCAAAAAGGGGTCATTTGGGGATATCTGTACTGTTCTGACATTCTTGGACCTCAAGAAATTAGATTGGCTGTCAGTACTTCAGGATTGATCAATATTCAGATCTATACCATAGTTTGTGAACTCTATAACTTTCCTACAAACTAAATAATACATCCTAATTTGGGTTATTTTCACCAAAGACATGTAGCAGAATACATCTCGGCCTAAATTTATGAAGAACAATTATTTATTTGTAAACTTTTATAACAGACACAAAGAAAAACGTGTTTTTTTTTCAAAATTTGTGGTCTTTTTTTGTTAATTTAGCAAAAAATGAAAAACCCCAGCGGTGATTAAATACCACCAAAAGAAAGCTCTAGTTGTGTGAAGAAAATGATAAAATTTTAGTTTGGGTACAATGTTGTATGACCGCGCAATTGTCATTCAAAATGTGAGAGAGCGCTTAAACCTGAAAAATGGCCTGGGCACGAAGGGGTAAAATTGCACGGTATTGAAACGGTTAAGCAACACTGGGGTTTTTATTTTTTTGTTAAATAAATGAAAAAAGACCAAACATTTTGAAAAAAAAAAAAGTTTTGTTTCTGTTATAAAATTTTTCAAATAAATAATTGTTCTTCATAAATTTCTTCATAAAAAACGCACCGCAAAAAGAACTGCAGGGACAGATCAAAAGCAAACTGCATAGGTGTGAGCCAGACCTTAGTACCAGCATTCCTTGATATTTGAATTGTGAGAAAATCAAACAAAGCTCACACACCATATAAATCATCTGCTGGGTGTCTTCACTGCAGAAATTGGCGGCTCACACTCCACCCAGCTTCTCCTTCCAATACGTTCACTATGCATAGTTAGGGCTCATTTATAAGACCGACTAGGCCAGGGGTCTGCAACCTTTAAGACATAAAAAGCCACTTGGACCCATTTCCGAGAGGGAAAAAAAGACTGGGAGCCGCAAAACCATTGCAACATTTAAAACAAATCCGACACTGCATATATTGCAAAAAACGCTCTGGTCATGAAGGGGGTTTAAGGGCCCAGTAAGCAAAGGGTTAATCAGGGCCACAGTGTATCGTCATATCACAATCATAGCCTTAGGTCAGTGGTGGGCAACCTTTTTTTTCGACTGAGCCAAATCTCGCCAAAACCACGATTGAAATTTATTTTGAGAGCCACATTTTTAAAACTGAAAATACATCCCCCATATAGTAATTCATCCCCCATAGTAATTCATCCCCCATAGTAATTCATCCCCCATATAGTAATTCATCCCCCATAGTAATTCATCCCCCATATAGTAATTCATCCCCATAGTAATTCATCCCCCATAGTAATTCATCCCCCATATAGTAATTCCTCCCCCATATAGTAATTCATCCCCCATAGTAATTCATCCCCCCATATAGTAATTCATCCCCCATAGTAATTCATCCCCCATATAGTAATTCATCCCCCATAGTAATTCATCCCCCATATAGTAATTCATCCCCCATATAGTAATTCATCCCCCATAGTAATTCATCCCCCATATAGTAATTCATCCCCCATAGTAATTCATCCCCCACATAGTAATTCATCCCCATAGTAATAAATCCCCCATAGTAATTCATCCCCCATAGTAATTCATCCCCCATAGTAATAAATCCCCCATAGTAATAAATCCCCCATAGTAATTCATCCCCCATAGTAATTCATCCCCCATAGTAATAAATCCCCATTTTGTAATTCATCCCCCATAGTAATTCATCCCCCATAGTAATTCATCCCCCATATAGTAATTCACATCCCATAGTAATTCATCCCCCATATAGTAATTCATCCCCCATAGTAATTCATCCCCCATATAGTAATTCATCCCCCCTATAGTAAGTAATTCCCCATATTGTGTCAATTCACTTACCTTTGCTCCGCGCGTTCCTCTCGCCGTGTTCCCGCGCCGTTCCGGTCTTCAGGGCGGACTGTGAGAGGAGAGGAGTTCGTCACGCTGCCCCGCCTACATCCTGACAGCCAATGTTTGCCACGCTGGATTAAAAGGTCCGCCGGGCCGTAGTTTGCCCATTGCTGGGCTAGCTGCAGAGTTCTGACTTTTGGGGCGGCCGCCCGAGAGGAGGGAGGGGAGCGGGCACCCGGCACACAGAAGACCCTATTGCCTGTCACCTGGTGGGCAGTGTGGTCCGGAGCCGCAGCCAAGGTGAAAAAGAGCCGCATGCGGCTCTGGAGCCGCAGGTTGCCGACACCCGGTATAGATAATGGAATTTACACAGCTTTTACTTTCTGACTGCCCATCACATTTCTTGAGGTGCTAAAATACCAGGACAGTACAAACACCCTCAAATTACCCCTTTTTCGAAAGTAGACACCCTAAGCTATCTGCTGAGAGGCATATTGAGTCCATGGAAGATTTATTTTTTTTCCACAAGTTTATGTAAAATTACAAAAACATTTTTAAAACTGAAAATACATCCCCCATATAGTAATTCATCCCCTATATAGTAATTCATCCCACATAGTAATTCATCCCCCATATAGTAATTCATCCCCCATAGTAATTCATCCCCCATAGTAATTCATCCCCCATATAGTAATTCATCCCTCATATAGTAATTCATCCCCCCTATAGTAATTCATCCCCCCTATAGTAATTCATCCCCCATATAGTAATTCATCCCCCTATAGTAATTCATCCCCCCTATAGTAATTCATCCCCCATATAGTAATTCATCCCCCATAGTAATTCATCCCCCCTATAGTAATTCATCCCCCCTATAGTAATTCATCCCCCATATAGTAATTCATCCCCCATATAGTAATTCGTCCCCCCTATAGTAATTCGTCCCCCCTATAGTAATTCATCCCCCATATAGTAATTCATCCCCCATATAGTAATTCATCCCCCATAGTAATTCATCCCCCATAGTAATTCATCCCCCATAGTAAATTCATCCCCCATTAGTAATTTCATCCCTCATATAGTAATTCATCCCCCATAGTAATTCATCCCCCCTATAGTAATTCATCCCCCCTATAGTAATTCATCCCCCCTATAGTAATTCATCCCCCGTAGTAATTCATCCCCCCTATAGTAATTCATCCCCCCTATAGTAATTCATCCCCCATAGTAATTCATTCCCCATATTGTGTGAATTCACTTACCTTTGCTCCGCGCGTTCCCGCGCCGTTTGGTCTTCAGGGCGGACTGTGAGAGGAGAGGAGTTCGTCACGCTGCCCCGCCTACATCCGGGCTGCCCCGCCTACATCCTGACAGCCAATGTTTGCCAACACAGAAGATCTACATTAAAAGAGCCGCGGCTTGCCGACCCTATTGCCTGTCACCTGATGGGCAGTGTGCTCCGGAGCCGCAGGAAAGGTGAAAAAGAGCCGCATGCGGCTCCGGAGCCGCGGGTTGCCGACACCCGGACTAGGCCATACACCACCTGTTCTGCGGGGGAGGGGGTATAGCTAGGGGTTCACAATCAATCACAAGCAGACACACTTTCTAATGACAAAAAAAAAGCCACGTTCACTATTAAAAACCTTGTGTGCATTTATTAAAGTATTTAAAGCACAAGCCAGTCCACCTGCCCCACAGGTACTGATGCTTTTCACTCCAGAGCTCATTCGTAGAGTCACTGACTCTGTCTAATAAGCTCCAGATGTAGTGAAACGCATTAGACGGCCTGTAGGACAGATGGACCAGCTTGTGCTTGAAATATTTTAACCACTTGACCTCCAGAAGGTTTTACGCCCTTCACGATAAGGCCATTTTTTGCTATTTAGCACCTCGCTATTTTAACTGATAATTGCACAGTCATGCAACACTGTGCCTAAATATATCATTTTTTTTCACACAAATAATGCTTTCTTTTGGTGGTATCTGATCCCAAATCCCAATAAGTGTGCAGGCGTACCTTGGTTTATGAATTTAATGTAGACTTTTCTTTTTGCGAAAAAAATTTGTAAACCGAAACTTGGTTTCCCATAGGAATGCATTGAAAACCAATTAATCCGTTCCGAGGGTCAGAAAAAAGTTTTAAAAAAGTCTTTTATCTGTTAAAAACTCTTTATAAAGTGCACTTTAAAGGCATAAATACTGTACAGGAACATGATTAAAAATCAATTCATAAATGCATGATGATCAGTGTAGATGTCCCCTCCGCGGAATGCCGATTACCGGCTCTCCTCTCCTCTGTCAACGTGACAGCTCGAGAGCAGAGAAATGCCAATAACCGGCATTTCCGTGTTTACATGTGATCAGCTGTGATTGGACACAGTTGATTACATGACTGAGCCGACATCTTTAGCTCTTTCTGTGATCCGCTGTGTACGAGGGACACAGAGCACCGGCGATCGCCACGCTGTGCACTCCCTGAGCCGCGCAGGCGCGGTGAGAATGGAAGGACGTCATATGACATCCTATCAGAACAAGAGAACCACCTTGCGCCCGTCATTGTACTATAGGGCGGGAGGAAGGTGGTTAAAGGCATAAAGGGACATGATTAAAAAAAATTCTGTAAATACATTGAAACCAATTAATCCATTTTGGAGGTCAGAAATAAGTAAAAAAAAAAAGTCTTATCTGTTCAAAACTCTTTATAGAGTGCACTTTAAAGGCATAGTCAGGGGCGGACTGACAACTCATGGGGCCCCCGGGCAATAGGAGAGCATGGGGCCCCTGTGTCCTTGCCCAAACTCAAAAAAGCCTATGAAAAAGGTACCAGGGGCATCTCATGGGGCCCCCTACTGACCCCAGGCCCTCGGGCAGTGCCCGAGTTTCCAAATGGTCAGTCCGCCCCTGGGCATAGTACTGTACAGGGACATGATTAAAAAAACTATTCGTAAATGCATTGAAAACCAATTAATCCGTTCCGGAGGTCAGAAAAAAGTTAAAAAAAGTCTTATCTGTTCAAAACTCTTACAAAGTGCACTTTAAAGGCATAGTACTGTACAGGGACTTGATTAACCCCTTGATGCCGACAAAACACAAATATGCGGCTTCACAGAACTGTTTTTTTTTCCTTGAGGCCGCATATTTGCGAACCTGTCTTTGTGCTGGGAGCGTTGCGCACGGCGCGCTCGCAGCACAAAGACTGCAGTGTCACTGAGAGCCCCAGGTCCTGTTCTAATGATTGGGACCCAGGACTCCCGATTCCGGGTCACATGATCGCTGTGATAGCCTCTCATTGGCTATCACAGTGATCAGTCACTGTACAGTCCGGCCCCCTTGTTTTTTTCTCTCTTCCCTTGTTTTTTTCTCTCTCTATGAATGGAGGAGAGAGATACATTGTATCTCTCTAACTCCTGGCATAGAGGGAAAAAATATTTGTAAAAATAAATAAATATTAAAACATAAAAGAAAAAAGAAAAGAAAAAATACCTAGATCAAGGTTTGATCTAGTTCATTGCCAGGGTTACTGTTTGGGTTAAGGTCAGGGTCAAAGGTCAAGGTCAACGGTCAGGATTTAAAAAAATTTAAAAAAGTCAGTTAGTGTCAATGTCAGTGTCAGTGTGTTTTAGGTAAAAAAAAAAAAAAAGACAAAAACAAAATGTGCACTATTTTTTCTGGCCTGTACTACGGGTACAGACAACAAATAACATACACATATATG